TTGCTTCAGCAGTTGGAAGAGCAAGAAGAACCCCATGTAGTTGCCGGAGAAGTGCGCCTCGATCCCATCCTCGATGAGCGTGTAGTTCTGCAGGCCCATAACTCCCGCGCTGTTGATGAGGATGTTAACGTGACCCTTCGTGGCGGAGAGGATTTGCTCTGCACCAGCGCGGATGCTCTTGAAGGAATCTAGGTTCATCTCGACGAGAGAGACACGGCCGGGCTCAAGGATGCCAGCAAGGCTCTTGTGGGCCTTCTCCAGGTTGCGGGCCGTGAGGAACAAAGTGGCCCCCGTGGCCTTCAGGGCGCGAGCGGTTTCGACACCAATGCCTGACGTGGCACTAGTGATGACAATCACTTTGTCGGCCAGCTTGCCTTCAACTCCCTCATCTTGGATGATCTGGAGGGCGGTTGGCCGGGCGTCCCCGGCTCCTTGGGGGTCGAGATGCGCCGCAGCGTAGGGACTTACGGAACCCATCTTGTGCAGCCCGTTGCAGATTGCAAGCGCTCAGGATGTGAAGGGGATAGTAGTGAGATGAGCTTGATGAGATTCTCTATCGTATACTCCGCGACCATGAGAGTGATGTCTTGGTATTTATGAGTGTGTATATATCTCCCCAGATCGCCAGATTTGTCATCCGGTCTTCGGTACGGCTTCCATACGCTCCAGTCAATACCGGGCAGCATTGGCCGAAAGAGCGGTCCCCACATTGCGGGTATTGCGGCCGTATTCTCCGCCCCCATCTGCAGCCGCCGTATATGCCTTACACCCTCAGTCAACATTCACTCCCAGTCTACGCATATCATGCAGACCACCAGTCGTGATTCGAGCCTCGATTTGGCTCCGCAAGCTTGTCGGTCCTGCAGATCGGGCAAGAGAAGGTGCGACAAGGCACTTCCCAAGTGCTCCTCCTGCGCTAAGTAAGGTAAACAACCTCATAAACGCAGCAGAGCTGACTCTCGACCCCGCCACAGACGACGCCGGACATGTGAATACAGGTGGCAAGAAGCTAGCACGCACTCAACGACCGCGTCAGATCCCCAGAGGGGATGGTATCCCTCTCCACTGAACGAGGAGCAGCAACAGGATGTCCGCACCATAGACTTTCCAACCATCCTCTTCCTCGACCCGGGCTTACTGCAGCACGGCCAGGTGGACACAGCGCACAGCACGGTATCTGTTCCATCGCACATCCTGCACCTGCTCGGTGACCTGGGTGAGATCCGGTTCACTGCGGGCCGGTTCTTCGAGCACATCCACCAGTGGATGCCCTTCATCTCGAAAAAGAGATTCTACGATATTTATCTGCAGCCTGCATTCCACACTCGCCCCGATGTAGTCCTGTTGCTCCTGGCCCTCAAGCTAATTGCCACATTCCCCCCGGCTGGGGCGCAGGGACCCCGCACCCCCTTGTATTATGCCGTTCGGCATTTCTACGTGGAAGTCGAAGGCACCTTCTCCATCCTAGTGCTGCAGGCTGGGGTCCTAGTGGCGCTGTATGAACTGGGCCATGGGATCTACCCGGCGGCGTACCTGTCGATTGGGGCATGTGCGCGGTACGCTCACGCATTGGGCATCAACGTTGGTCGCACAGTGCCGACCCGGAGAGTGCTTACCTTTGTGGAGATGGAGGAACGGCGGAGGGTCTGGTGGGCGATAGTGATTCTGGATCGGTAAGCCGCTTGGCTGCATGCACACCGTATGTACGTTAATGTAGACTAATGGCTGAACCATTCATAGTTTCGTGAGTATCGGCTGCCCGGGACGACCCTTCGCCACTGCCGATCCACGTTTGGACGATCTTCTACCCGCGGATGATGCAGCATGGGACCAGGGGGTAGGTCCGTACACTTGTGTTCTGCCAGTCTCTAATACCTAGAGTAGATTGTCCGACCAGAGGACCTCTCGACCCTGTCTTCTCCAATGACGGGCCATATGAGCAAGTTCGCTCTGCTGTGTCAGGCTGGCCGACTCCTGGGACAGGTCCTACACCACCTCGCCAGCGATGTCGCCATCCACGACGAGGTCTGGATGCAGCTCGATCGCACCCTGCAGTCGATGCTGGCTGCGGCATTGAACATTGACTGTCCGGACTATGATCAGATTACCTTTGTGTACAGGTTTGTAAACCCTCTCTTAGCAGTTGATGAAACTGACTGGTCTCGATTACCAGTGCGCTTGTCGCCCTGTATACCCCGTGGCTCGCCCCTGACCAGGCTGCTGATCCCCACAGCGACCGATTTCGACGGGCACGAGTCGTGCTGGAACAGATCACCGACCGTATCAGCGCTAACCTGGTGGAGCGACAATGTTTCCTTGGCCGCGACCCGGAAGACATGTCCCCATGGGGGCTATACTTTGCCTACCGCATCTGCGGGTCACATATGCGGGCTCAACGGAAGACGCCACATGCGGCAGCGGTGGTGCAGAGTCTGCGGGAGGGGTTTCGCACAATCGAGGTGCGGTGGAATGTGGCGGGAGTGTATCTGCAGCTGTTGGAGGCTCAGGAAGCGATTCATTTGAGGATATAATGGTCATGCTTGCATAGAGTTGATACTGGTTTCAGTATTTCACATCGACAGTCCCCCATATAAATAGCCATTTTCCTCGTACATAATCTAGCCTTGGTAATTGATATGACGTCTACCCTTGCTGTCTTCTACACATGAGATACTGCTACTGCACCGCCTCTGCGAAAGACGCTGCTGATATACTTGCAGGCAATGTGGACATGGTCTTCGCGACCATGTGATGAACTTCCCGGCGGACCAGAAAAGCGCACCAACTGCGCAAAGGGGGCATGATCACCTGCGGTACGTTCGGGTCAGCGCGGTTCGAGGGCCCCATGGTGCAGGATCTGTGGCAGAGGCTTAGATATGAAGGAGGGAGGCAGCTCCTCGCCAAAAGTGGGGGGAGAATGCTGAGGAGACACTCCGGGTAATGGCGCGGCCTGGGCAGGTGAACTTCGCGCCGTTGGATGAGTTATAGTCTAAATTATACCTTACAATTTAATACCACTGCTACCAGTGGGCCATGTAGTATGAAATAGGTGAGATTGTGCCATAAGCCCGCATTAGCAGATCATCGAGGGGCCAACCAGCGCCCTGTATCTATTGGACGCACGCCCCTGTGGATGCTTTCCGCCGAACCCCGCACACTACATGAGCCCTGAGCCCTACTTGACAAGGGTCGCTTTGTGAGACTCGGACTCAACCTAGGCCAGAGCTAAACTGGAATGGATTGATATAACACCACGCGGCCAGCCTGTAGACTGCTGACTCTATAACTTGAGCGACAAGCCCACCGGCATTCAACTTCTGTTTCCTCCCCGACACCATTTCCGTCCCTATTCTGTAAAGATCTCAACTATGCCCCCCAAACCCGGTCGTCTTGCTTCCATTCTCCGTTCATGGGGGCTGATCTGGTTATCTATTTGTTGTAGGTCTTTGTCGCCCCGCCATCAATTTTCACCACTCTATTAATCATCCCTCCCCTACAGTGCACTGGGAAGCTTTGGCCCAAGCAATTCGTCGAGACGGTCTCGCTGCACTTGGCCGCCTACAAAAAATTCGAGATGCCGCTTCAGCAAAGTTGTTCAGTATAACGTGTAACGTAACCCACTCGCCATATCTTCCCTCGTTCACTCAACTAGTGAACGGAGTAGACTGCTGACCATCATGCGCAGCTAGTGATTTTATCGCTTATGAAAACACAACCATTGTTCCCGCTCTGGTGCAAGCCGCTGGCGGCATTGTTCTCGAACTAGGCCCTGGGCCAGGCAATCAGATTGATCGTTATGATCCCTCCCTTGTCAAACGCGTGTATGGCGTTGAGCCTAATCCCTACTTTAAAGATGACATAGATGCCAAATTGGACAAGCATAGCCTGCAGGATAGGTATAAGCTTATAATTTGTGGCGTTGAAGATAGCGATGTTCTGAGAGAAGAGGGAATCACGGAGGGGAGTTTGGATGCCGTGTTATGCATCCAGGTTCTGTGTGCGGTAAAGGATCCGAAGAACGTGATGAAGGAGGTGTAGAAGCTGCTCAAACCTGGAGGCAAGTTTATATTCTGGGAACACGGATGGAGTAGAAACCGTTTGACGACAGTAGCGCAAGGTATGTCGGTCCCTGCCACCCTTTCCTCGTTCCTGGATGACTCTATTGAGTTCATCTCTAGTGGAGGGACCAACGAGTTGTTCAGAGCGGCTCACATGAAGAAACCTTAGCTTGCTGGAATCCTGCTTGGAGCACATTTGTTGGATGTCATCTGACCCGGAATGTTTTGGCGGACATTCTCAACAGCGGAGAGTGGGAAAACCCGCATGAGATTGAAGAACCTGAAGAACCATTTAGTTTGCTGCCTAGGATTCAGGGTGTGCTTGTGAAGAAAAAGGCTTAATTGGCCTCCTTACAGCAAATCCTTTCAATCTCTGGAGGTCATATCAAGCTGGATAGTAAGTACATGTTATGATGAATTACAATTCTGGAGACTCAGGCATGGCTGAAGACTGTTCAGTGAATATGGTATATCACTGATGCATTACTGTTGCTGTGTTTCGTGCAATTATAGCAGGGGTGATTACAAACTGCTTCTTTGCTTGATTAACCGCTGAGGTTTGTTGAATCTAGCGGACAACTTGCACAGGTGGTAGTGGACCACGAATCGGCCGATCCATTGCAGAGGTAAGAAGGTCACCACTCAGCTTTAGTTCTAATGTATTGGTTGCGTTGAAGGAATATTGCTATTTTTCAGTCACCACATATCAAATAGATCGTTAAATTCCAAAATAAGGCTTCCATTGCTTGACAAGGATTTGTCTTGGCCAACAACATTCGGAAGAAGATGTGTAGTCTGCATCTGTGAAAGAGTTGCCACATGAATCATGACATTGGTTTGCCCCCAAGTCCTAAGCATTGTGCAGAACTACATATTACAGCAGCAGATCGACATTCTTGGTGTTCAAGATTTGTCTGATTTCTCCTCATCACGGACTAGCCTCTACCCAATGTATTCCGCATAGTTGATGAAATCAACATCAGACTGTAGCCTTTCTATATCTTCACCACGCAAACACAATGCAACTACGACCTCGCCTTCAGGAGTCTTCGGCAATAGAAAAGTCAGTCCCTCTACCTCATTACATCTCGGCTTTCGCACAGCCTCAGGCAATCCCAAACCAAGACTGAAGTCACAGCAATAGCTCTCCACTTTCGCCCACGAGCTGAGAATGAGATCTGTTGTTGTATCGAGCTTTGCGCCAAAGGAGAAAATATTTTTATCGGATGTGTGACTGAGGAAGGTTGCAATGGCGCGCGTGTGGTGATTCAAGCGTGATTTGTCGTCCAAGGCTGATCGAAGCTCCAATGCGACACCGCCCAACGACTCCTCAACCAACCCTTGAAGGGTGAACTCCGTATATACATTGCTTTGAATGGGCCCCGGATAGAACGGAGAGATCCCCAGAGGGCTCCGCACATCAACGGCGCGCATAAGCGTTGAGCGTACGGAGGGGTCCAATCGGAGCAGACGGACTCGAGCGACGGATTGCCAGATGAAGGCGGTTAGAGCATCATCCGTAGAGACAAAGGATGGGGTTGAGAGAGATCCCATGGCGGTCGATTTCAGTCTTTTCAGAGACCGAGGCGAGAATTTAAAGGATGTCCATATACATTTCGGTGGAAGAGACCCTCGCGCCTCGGACGGCGTGCTATAGGGCGCAGTTGTGACAATGTAACGATCAAGCTCGGCGCCCATCATATCACTCTGTTTGAGTAGCGGAACGATATTCGGGCGGGGAAGATTGGTGTCTCGAAGTTCGTGGTCGTTGAACGGTTCATTCCGGCAAGCCTTTGAGAATAGACCGATAATGTGACCTAAGCCGGTGGCATCCATGGCATTGTGCTGAGCGACGAATGTAAGGAGGAGGCCACCAACAACAAAATTCGCCTGAACGAGAAACACGGGTGCCGGTTCTGAACTGTCTTCGGGGAAAATCTTCCGTGGCGCCAGAGTGTCCTGATCGAGCATGCTCATTGGGAAATTAGCGCGTCGCAGGACTTTCATTGTCGCTACCCGGGGGTCATGTTGAAGATTTTTCACAACCAGCTGCGGCAGATTTTCCAGTGGCCTAATCATGAACCGGCCTGTATCACCATCGCCAGATCCCTCATTAACAACTTGACCAGATAACCACGGAAAGCTTGCACGCAGCCGCTCAAGACCTCTGGCAAGAGTGTCGATAATCACTGAATGTGCGGAAGGGGAAGCATCGTCGAGAGGAAAGCAGAAACATGACTGAATATTAATCGTGAAGGTCTGTTGACCGAAAATATCAAGGCATTCATCCATAACGCAGGGGTATGTCATGGCAAATACGGCGGATAGGTGTCAAATTTATGCCCAATTCCCCCGTGGGCCCCTGTGGAGCCATTCCTATCAAGCCACCCACTGATTCACAATGTATGGATCATGACTCATAATGAGTGGGCCTGGGGCTTGTCCGGAATTGGGCGATCTACCGCAACTTTAAAATTTTAGCGTTAGCCTGGAAACAGCGGTGGAAGTATTTAGGAAACGTTCCGCTCCAAGTTGACATATGGCAGATCAGGTTCTGGGTAAACATACTGCGGCTCGTAAATCTCCCGTTAGGATGGAGTTGCACGATAGGGATACATAAATTGCCGTGGAACGGGGGTTGGGCCGTCGTGACTCGGCTGTCGCCACGAAGTCAGGGTCACCCACGTCGATGCCGGCAAAAAGCTACTTGGTAAGGACTAGGCGGTTGCATCTCCCTCTCGGTGACTGATATTACTATATGGTAGCGGGTGTTCAGCTACAATGATCGCTGGGATGGGTCCTCAATGTTGGCGCTTTTGTCTGCATGATAGCCTCCGGCACGCTGCTCCCATTGATGGACCTAATCTTCGGTAAAGTCGTGTCTGTCTTCAGCGACTTCACCGCTGGAGTGCTCGCTCCAGTGGAATTTCGCTCTGACGTGACGGGCTACACGTGAGCTCCTTCGTCGAGCCTCTCCTAGCTCAAGTCCGACATTCAGCATGGCTACTGACACGGGCTCTAGGCTTTGGGTTATCTACCTCTTTATAGCGAAGTTTGTCCTGACATATATCTGGAATGTCAGTAGTAATTAGTCTTTGATGGGTCGAAAAATTAGCTGACCCTGCCAGATCCTCGTTTCTCTCACTGCCATTCGCACAACTAAGAACCTCCGAGTGAGCTTCTTGCAAGCGGTACGCTCTGGCCCGTTACAGGTGCCATGTGAACTATTCAATTACGAGTAAACTTGTGTATTTGTAAGAAAAGAGTCAAGCGCATAGATTCTTCACCACCCCTAGTATATGTAATACTTGGCCACGCTCTACAGAAGATGAATATGCAGCCAAATCCATTCACCTTCACACCGATGATGCTTCTTTTTTCGCGTCCAGAATTGTTTTGAGCAGGGCTTGTTGTTGGTCTAGCGGAAGATTCCCATATTGTTCTTGGATCAAGGTTCGAATGGAAAAGTCGGTGACGAGTTTGGGGTCCACGGATGAGATGATAACAGCCACGGCGATCATATCTTTCGTGATATCTATTAGTTGCTTAGACGAATACCGCCAGGCAAACATTCGAATGTCAACCCTTTGGATACCTCCCAGGTCTCCAGTCGTGATAGTACTGTCATGAGAGGGTGTGGTAAGTATACAGGCAAATTGAACCTTAGAGCTTTTTTGAACTCACTAGCTAGTCCGTGTCGACTTGTTTCCTTCATATGAACCAACAAGGGCCTTGATGCCGTCTTGGACTACAGTACTTATTCCTTTTGCCAAGTCCCCTTTGACAAACGAGCCAAAGGCATCGGTGATCTCTTTGCCAATGTCGTCGGGTGTGTTGGAGATGCCGCATCGCACGATCGACTCTTGATGCATAATCTGACCGACGGGGATCAACTTTGCGTCCACTGCCCTGTTACTATATTGAAGTGACTTGGTTAGGAAGATGAAAGAAAAGTATGTCAATCGTCACTGTTTGACAGCAGCAACTTACGTGACAGCCAGCATGAAAGATTCAACCTGTTGGTTACCCAGCTCCTCCATTTGGTTCAAGGCATCGTTCGCCAACCTCTGCTTTTCTGCATCATTTTGGATACTGTCGATGACAGATGAAACCATCTGACCCATGATGACGAATTCCAGTTAAGAAGATTGAGAAAACAGGTTTATCTGATTCCGTTTCAATTGGGAGCAGAGATCGAGGGCCAATCCCTTGATTACTAGACGTTGGTCTGTTCGGTAAGAGTTAGATTGATTATTGATATGGCAGAATGGGTGATTGCATTTTTTAAATAATGCCATAGTGGCATTCACCACCCAATTCAGCTGCCTGCTGAATTATTACGTTGCAGCCAGGTGTAAGGGGTGGGGTGTGGAGGACGTGACGCGCTGTTCGTATGGGGTTCGCATCGATCTCAAAGTCGGATGCCTCCTCTCACATCCATAGATAAAGCCTTGGTCGCGAACATACTAGCGCAGTCTCACGTCACGTATGCCGGGGGGGGGCTTTCTGGAATTATGAGGGAATAAAAACCAATAACAAGCGAGCCTGTAAACTTGAAGCGGGGCGAATGTTACACAGAGTCACTTTTTACATAAAATCAAAGCACAGAATCAATAGCACGGACGCACAATGACATAAATATGGGACTCCCAAGATGCTACACAGATTACGATTCTAGAGATGGTACTGTAGATATCTCGGTCAACACATAGTTTTCATATCCAGGAAGATTAGAAACGGCATCTTGCGCCAGATCCAAACATGCCCGGTAGATTGAAGCCGTTATCAGAGATAAGTTGTGATCGCAATGTGTTGAGGTGATGAAATCATTGCTTGAGGTTCTACGGAGAAGCTTTGTGGAGCTGAATGATGTGCGCAGAAGACTAGACAGCTAAACAGCGTCCGTCCAGCGTCTGCATCCTGCATCGTGTGCAAACATTCAAATCATATCAGCCAGCTACGCGCTGACGATTCTCATCTCTGAGGATGTGCCTTCTAAATCTCTAAAGAGCCATAACAAATAACACGCAGCGCCACCGCTGGTTAGGCAACGACTACAGATGTGATAGAACAAAAGACGATGCAGAAGGCTGCCAATCTACCCCGCAGATCATTGCATAACCCCAGTTATCCCGTTTCATCGCTTGGTCGATAAGTCAACAACAATCATCGCGAGTGGGAGATTCATGTCCAGCTGTTCTTAGCCTTTGGGGATCTGCCTTCGAAAACTCTGAAGAGCCATGATAAACGACACGCAGCGCCACCGCTGGTTAGGCAACGACTACAGATGTGATAAAACAACAGACAATGCAGAAGACTGCCAAACTACCCGCAGATCATTGCATAGACCCAGTTACTGCTTCTCATCGCTTGGTCGACAAGTCAACAATAATCATCGCCAGTGGGAGATCCATGTCCAGCTGAACTTAGCCTTCGGGGAACCCCGAGTATCGACTCTCCAAACTTGACCCCACCAGCTGGGAATATGAATGATGTGTGTCGACATGGTCCTAGTGCATGCTATAGGAATCCTCTAAACAGTACTGTTCGTACACCAATTGATATAAGAATACAATAATCCTTTGGCAGACTCTACGATCAACTCACACTTGCAGAGTGAGAGTTTAGAAAACACCTATTCTTCTTCTGATTCATCTCCTTTAGCAACCTGAGATATGGCCAATATTCCCCCAAACAACCCCAATCACCCCCGGTGGCTGCTTGATCTCGAACAGTGGGCGATCCGTGACTATCGAGAGATCGAAGACGATGTGCTGCGGAACGGATACGGCATTATCTCCTACACCTGGGGTAGGTGGGCCTCGTGGAACCAGGCCCCTCCTGACGTGCCACAAGGGCTACAGTGGCCAGTTCCGCTTGTCGAAGTCCTGCCTCTGGGCCTGGCTCGGAGTGTAGTTTCAAGCATGAAGATTCGATACGTGTGGTGGGACTGGATGTGTGTTCCACAGGGGAACGCAAGCACGTTACCTCCAGAGCTATTGCAGGCCAAAGGACAAGAGGTCGGGAAGCAGATGTAGGCATTTCTTTATTTTCCCCTCTTGCTATTCCTCTCTTCATTTGGTGAAAGCCATGCTGATATTGATGAGTGCTTAGGGTAATCTACAAAGGGGCAAAGAGAAGCATCGTATGGCTTCATCGCACGAATTGGGGTCAGGACTCTCCGATCGAGAAGTTGCTGAAAAATCAGCTGCCAAGACAGAACCTCCGCGGGTACTTTGATGCCGTTGATAGCCTTCTCCATGAGATACAGGAAGCTGAGCCTTGGTTGACCTCTGGCTGGACACTGCAGGAGGGGGTTCTTCTCAGTGAGACTCTTTTGTTGGATTACCAAGGTACGACACTACGCGATGACCGTTTCCTTCACAACCAAGGCCAGGCATCCGTGCTTGACCTCACAGCCGGTCTCACAACATTCGCTATCCACATCGCCACAGCTTTCCTGAAGATCAGTGAGACGCAAGATGGTGGTGATTACGACGAAGTAGTTCAATTCATCCGCGCCTCAGAAGAGAACTACCAATATGTCGCACAGTTCCTCTCCCGCCTCCTGCGCTCGGGTTTGATCGCCTACACTAAGAAGTCCCCGTTGTACATCCTAGCTGGGAAGTTTTCGCGCCATTACGGTGTGGAGGAGGATCAGTGCTGGGCATTGTTGGGAGCACTGGAGCTAGCGAACGTTACGCCCTGGTACAACAACGCCGCGGACATGGACCGGGTCAAGTCCGTCTTCTTTGCACGTCTGCTCCAGGAGCATCAGTGGTCCACGGTGCTGGTAGCCGGCGCAAGTGGAAATCAACAGGATATTGCTCAACTACCGTGGCACATCAAAGTGACCGATGGTAAATATCTGCCCTTGGGAATATTCTTCGACGTCAATTGGAAGCCGAATCTCCCGGGCCTGTCGTGGACTTACCCTGCAACGCCAGGAAATGATGCCATTCACATCCAGACCAGGACTGGAGCGCCATTCGCCGTTGTAAAGGTTCGTGAGAATGGTTCCGCGCTCTGCAGGCGCTACGAACAGCTTCCGACTCCCGACGGGGCAGGATCCATTCGTATTCTGCCTGTTAGGCCCTTGGAACCTTCTGCGGCACTGTTCTTCCCAATTGCGGATCTGGAAAGTAGGCCAAATATGCCAGGTGCACGCTGCATTGAACTTATTCCCGCTGGAACAGGGGCTCATCCGGCCGGAATATTCAGGGGGGTGGTTGATATTTGGGCAACTGAAGCTACTTTGGAGAATGTTCACTTCACCAAACTTTCAATGCTAAGCGGAATCTGATGGCAGCTGGCATTACTGTTGGATTAAGACCAAGCTACTTGAGTATACGTCAGAATAATTTGAATATGCTTCAAGATCCATGAATAGGGCCGTTGCGGATACGATATTCGCAAGATCCAGCAATACCCGTTAAGTTCTGTTATAGGGCTTTTGAGATTATTGTGACGCAAGGCTAGTTTTTGCATCGGAAATATTTCTGAAGTTGTTGTTTTTGGCTTGTATGACGACGAAAATGGCGCTACGCGGCCCTGTTTGGGCACTAACTTTAGTGATGCAATTTAGGCTTGCAAGTGCCGCTAGAAGGATGCTCAGGTACGAAGCCGGTGTACCTCCTGTGCATTCCTCTGTAGGCGCATCTCCAGCTGTAGTAACAGATCACAAAAGTTGCATTTATGATGCTGCAGATGCAATGTCTTAAGGTATCTGTTCACTCTGTAAACATCAGAGTATTCTTTTAATCATTGAAAACATGTAGATGGCTTGTCTGCTGCCACCTTTGCCTTAATGGCACTAAGCTTCTTCTTCTATGCTGACATAGTAGGCTGCTCCTGTATCTTCAGCTTCTTAGCTGGTTGGTCTGAGACTTGGGCTTTATTATCTAATATAGGGTGTTTCAATAATCCACAGAGAGAACCCCCCCTTAGGGAAACTATAATACTATATACCCACCATTATAGCTTTATTGCGTCTTATCAACTCATCTTCTAGTAAGTGCAACGCTCACTCCGCGCCGTCCTTTATTTCAAGAGTGAGTGCTATCAGACCGTCTGGGCCACTACAATGGGGAACCGCCTTTCAGCAGCATCGCGATCAGTAACAATTTAGAGGTGATACCCACACAGATTAACCTCACCAGTCACAGTGCTGACGAATAAGTCTTCCCAGGTCATGATCTAGGACCCAGCAGCTTCCCAGACGTCGCTGGACCGGCTACCATGGACATTGATATGGATCAATTCTGAACTGCAGTGGACTGGAGGTTGATGGATACACAGGCCCTGGTTATATATGCATTTTCTGAGGTGGATGCTAGGTACTCCCAGTGATAGGAATCTCCTCTCTCAGCGTCTGCTCAATGATATACCAGTTCTGCGTTGACCTTGTTCCCCCAAGCCAGTAATTGCCCTGCTCTTCATTCCTGATATTAGGGAACATCTTGGTGAACTTGTAAGGTGTCTGAACTTTCTTGATATACTTCAGCCTCAGTGGACCAGCACCCTTTAAGACGGCGGCCGAGCACTGTGGGGAAGAATATCCTTAAGTGGTGGTGGAGTTGTCCTTGGTCTACATCTAGACACCTCGGGCAGCCCCAACAATGCTCCCATGAGTCATGAGTCCAGGATCAACCCGAGAGGGGCAACTGCTCACGTGACGTCATCTCACATCTGTTTTGGAGTTCAGATTCAGGCATTCTTTCCATTCGCCATATTTTCCTCAGATATATGGATGCCTGACAATCATGAGCTCTACTAACCACGAGACTATCACTTTGAACGAGATACCGACCCGTCGTTCTCCCGATGACTTGACTTCATCGGAGATAGAGCAACCCTCGCTGCCCCCCGCAGATGGAGGAAGAGCTGCGTGGCAACTACTCGCAGCATGCTGTCTCATTCAGCTACCAGTCTGGGGTTTGCACTCAGCGCGAATGACCAGAGGTTAGCAACGACTAATTTGACACGCCAGGGTTCTCGACTGTTTTCGGTATTTTCCAAGAATACTACGCCACGCATGATGTACTACAGGGCAATAAAGGCGACCTTGCTACCGTGGGAACTACTTCAACTGTATTGGCAAAGCGCCACACAATTGTCATTGGGTTCAATATGGTCTAACACAACTGGCTAGGGTCTTCTGTACCTCTTATCGCCGGTGACATTTACACTTTTGACGCGGTATCCACACCTTCAAGCTTGGTGCATTCCAACAGGGCTATGTATCACCGTGATCGGGTCGCTTCTATCGTCCTTCTCGCGGCAAGTATGGCATCTCATTGCAACTCAGGGTATTATGTGCGCCATCGGCAATGCGCTCATGTTCAGTCCATCGTCTCTATATATGGACCAATGGTTCATACAGAAAAAAGGACTTGCCCTCGGGATCATGTGGGCAGCCAAGAGCGTAACCGGCGTTGCATTGCCCTTTGCGGCGAATGCTTCTTTACACAAATTCGGTTCCAGTACGACCTTCAGAGCTTGGACTATCACTACGGTATGATGCCCCCGTTCATTACTGCTTTTTGTTCCCGACTTCGCATTCGTTGCGAGACCATGCAGGCGAACCAACTCGGGTTGCGTCTGTAACTGTCGGATTGCATTTAGTTCTAACACCGAATCACAGTTGCTTACTAGCCTACTATCTTTGCCGTTTATGAAGCCTCGAATCCCCGTCTCGCCTTCAGCGTCAGCCCGGCGTCTGGACCTCAGGTTCCTCCGACTGGCCGCCTTCTGGACGCTCCAGGCAGGCAATATCATGCAAAGCTTTGGATATTTCTTGCCGTCCACGTATCTGCCATCTTACTTGACCACAATAGTCGGTCTGTCAAGAACGATGGGCACATTGCTAGTGTCGCTCTTCAACGCGACTTCTATTGTCGGTGGTATCTGCATGGGAATGCTCTGTGATCGTTTCGCAGTATCGAACATTCTGCTTTTCTCCTCGATAGGCTCAGCACTATCCGTGTTCCTCCTGTGGGGCATGGCATCATCTCCGGAGTCTGAATCGCCTCAGACGGCGATTGCTTTGCTCACGCTATTCTCCATCTTCTATGGATTCTTCGCGGGTGGTTTTAGTTCCACTTGGTCGGGTATCATCAAACAAATCAAGCGCGACTCTTCCACGTCCTTGGAGACAGGTTTGGTCTTTGGTTTGCTTGCGGGGGGGCGGGGAATTGGCAATGTCATCAGTGGTCCGCTGAGCACGGCGCTAATCAAGCAGGGATCGCTCAGTGGCTCGCAAACCGACAACGCTGGAACTGGTTTTAGCACTCAGTATGGGACCTTGATTCTTTTCACTGGTATCACAGCAGTTTTCGGAGCGTGGAGCTGGATGTGGGGTTATATCAGCTCTGGTGTGCGCTGTGTGAGTCGCTGAGAGCTGGTTGTGTGTTTGAGTGCAAGACAGGACCTTGATTTTCGACACATTCCAGAAAATATTGGTTTGAAGATGAAATAAGATTTTCTAAATAGCGGTATACTTGAAGACAAAGCATGATCTATTCTTAAGCATAAGAATCAAAACTCTACATCTAGACGCATCTGCAGCCCCAACAAGCTGGAACTACAACGCCTATAGGGTAAAGCCATGGTACGTGTCAAGGATAAAAATATCCTCGTTCTTAGTAACAGTAAGGTGTTTAATATTTTTGAAGTCTCTTCTCTTTTATTTTTATCTATATTTATTTAATTTTATGTTATAGTAAAAAGATAGGATATTATTCTTAAGGACCAGGGATAAGCTAATAATTTATATAATGACTTTGTGGTGTGGAAGATTCACAAATATATAAGCAGGGGCTTGGTATAGGAACGCTCTGACATATGTCTGCCTTGCAAGGTGGCTACAGATTCTTACTGTCTGACCTGGATACATGAGGCTAATGGAGAATTGCCGAGCTATGCTCCGGGCTACGGAAACTGTTGAGATACTATACCACTAGGCTGATAAGTACACTGTCCGGACGACCTTTTTGGTCTAGTGGTATTAGTTGTTGATACAAACCACAAATTAAGGCAAACGGCCACTATGTGCCAGGAGTCCCTCGGATAAATACGTAGACAGCGCTCATGTAAGAATCGCCTGTCTGCCAGCCCCACCGGTATCCATTGCAATCTGGCCAAAACGCCCCAGACCATTCAGGGGGAAGAGGACCTGAGAACAAGTATACTGAGAACAAGTATACTGAGATTTTTGATCCTGGCTATGTGGATACACGAGACTCAGGTGATAACTCGATATCAGGGGGTGAAGCTCACAATCATTGATCGTTGCGGTGCGGGCCGGACACCACTAGCTTATCAACAAATAGACAGTTTGCATGAGTACTGGGATTCAAGTTTAGTGGCGGTTAGTGTAGCTACTAATGCATGGTGACTGCGGCAAGGCTGGAGCTGAGAATAGGAACCGCGGCCAAGGTTCCCTGTGACCGCGTACCTTACGGACTTAAATTCGACGAGTTCCCCTTGGATGGGATGAGGAGAGCAAGGCGAGAGGCAGAATCCATAACAGCATTGCAATCGGAAGTATCCTATTAAAGTCGTCAGTATGGGAAAACGAGTGCGCCACTTTGCCGGAGTCGAAAGCTCAGAGCAGCTGGCTTTTATTGACGAACTCCAGGAGCTAGGGCTCAGCAGCACGATTGACCTGCCCGAGGTAAGTCAAGTGGCCACAGCTTAATGGTGATCTGGCCATGGCTAACGATATCAGCTTGTGGTGGTGGGAGACCAAAATTCCGGCAAGAGCTCGGTGCTCCAAGCCATAACCGAAGTTTCGTTTCCGGTCAAGGATGGCACCTGCACTCGTTTCCCAATCCAGATTTCCTTCAGACAGACCTCCGCCTCCAATAAATACCCAGTTAAGGCTACTATTGTGCCGGGACGACAATCCGAGAATGATGACGAGCTTCTCCTTCGCATAAAAGACTTCATGATGGAAAAGGAAGAGTTGACTTCGGAAGTGATGAAAGAGATCATAGAGGAGGTATGTTGAGTAAGTGTAGATTGATCTCCCTCATCGCTCATGCAGCTAGGCAACGGAGTGCATTTTCGGCGAACGAAAGCCAGGGAAGCAGATGAGTGACGAGAGTCTGAGCGACGCCACACTCCGAATTGAGCGGTCCGGCCCGGACGAGATGCACTGGACGATTGTAGATCTTCCGGGTCTCAAAAGGAAAGATCGTGCATCAGGCGAAGAAGCAGATGCGCAGACTAATGCAGAAGTTGCAATGGAACTCGCTCGCAGCTACCTAGTGAATGAGAGGAATATTGTTTTGTACAGAGCCAGACAAGATCCGTGGTTAATTATCAAAACTGACAACTTGATTCCAGGGTGGTAATCGACGATGTCGACGTGGGGCGGCTCAGAATCTTTGAATTAATTGAAGACCTACCGGGAGTGGAAAGCCGATGCATTGGCGTGCTCACAAAATGCGATCGCAAGCAGGAAGGCTCCGATGAATGGGTATGTATAACCGCTCGACCATTTCTAGGTGCCTTAAGTTGCTAAGTGCTCCCATATCATAGATGGTCAAACTCCTGCAGAATGATTTGCCTACTGTTCCTCATTTCGACCACGGCTGGTTCGGACTGCGGAACAGAATACCTGCCGAGGCCCATATCACAGACGCCGAGCGCGACGAACGAGAAATAAAGGAGTTCACCCAAACGACCTGGGAGGGAGTGGCCAAGGATAGGACAGGCATACGCTCGTTGATCAAATACGTCGACAGGGAGCGGCGGGCCAAGATTCAGTCAGGCCTGCCCCATATCATTGCGGAAATCCGTCGGAAACTTCAGGAATGCGAGTCAGACCTTAGCAGAATGGGAGAGGCCCGTGATAGCCCCAAAGCCCAGCGATACTTCGTCTTCCAATTCTGCAATGAAATGCAGAAAATGGCCAACGCGACTCTGATAGGCCAATATCAAGACGTACCCTCAGAGGATCCGAGGATCATGCTTCGATACCGAGTGCAGCGTCGTCTTGATCAATTCTATAAAGAGATGGTGGACCCAGATAACATGCCCATTCTATTTTCGAGCTATGAGGACGACCTGAAAATACTCAGCTCGATGAATCCAGAGGAGTGGGAAGAAAAGGTCATGAATGCCCCTGGTATGTATTCCGAGATATACAAGGAAGCCAAAATCAGCGAGGGGCGCAGCCTTCCAGGGAGTATCCACCCAGACGTGGAGGAAAAGATGTTTCGGAAGCTAACAACCCATTGGGAGAGGATTGCTCGAAGCTTTGTTGAAGATGTGAAGGACCTCGCAAGGGACTGCCACGATGTACTTTTGAGGATAGCCATACCCAATAGCAAAGTGCGCCTGGAGGTGAGTCGCATTATTGGGAAGACGCTGGAAGAGTGGAACAGGGATGCAGATACGGCTCTCTGGGAACTCATCGAGGATAACCAGGCCCGACCGCTCGTGACTCGCCATCCCATATTGATCTCTGAGACGATAGCTGCAGATAAACAACGAGGCGAAATCTTACTTGGCAAGAAGACGACAATGACAACGAACAGGGAGAGTGAGGGGACCCCTAACGGCATAAGCGGGGGCCAGCAGCTACGTTTTCTCTCGACTTTGCTGAGCCAGGTGCTTTTTGTCCGTGCAAGGCTGGAGTCGTACTACAGAATTGCGCTGTACCGATTCATTGACAACGTAGCGATGCAAGTCGTCGAGCGACATGTGCTGGGACCGAAATGCCCCATGCTTAACGTCTCTGTCCAGACCTTTACGAATCTGGATGACGGAGAACTTAATAGCGTGGCCGGGGAAGACGAAACGGATATTCGTATGCGGGCGAGGCTGGAAAAGGTGCGGTCTCGATATGTCCAGGCACTGGAAAAGTGGGAGAGATTGAGAGTACTTTAGCAAGGGTTAGGCAGCAACAGTCAGGTTAGAATTAATTGCAGGGAAATTGTCGAATTGTATAATGACGACTCCTCGAGACTTTTCTATCCGTCGCCCAAAGAGCCATCAAGTACTGCTTCGTAGTTATGCAGCCAATTGTTGATAACCACTGTGTTTCAGAAGATTATCAATCACCACATTTCATTCCTTTTCTTGACCCTTTTGTGACGGAGCTGGAGACTTACTGTCCTTGGGGCATTCATCATTCCTCATTTTTCAGATGTCAATTGCTTATACATCAGCTGCATATGGGATAGGCGGCAGACGGTGGAAAAGCAGGCAAGGACCCGGCTCCCTCAAATTTTGGCTCATCCCATTCTACTCTGTACACTGGGAAAAATCAAGTGAGCCTTGGAAGTTCTACCATACGCACTAGTCTGTGTGAATCGTGGCGTGTATGTGCATTGAGAATGCGCCAATCAATGTCCGTGCAGTCGCGATTTCAGAAATCGACAAGATCCCTACTTTATTGAGATCTGCGAGGGAGTCTGCACGCTTATCGATCAGTGAGGGTGCTGCGACGCCTCTTCCGTGGCCGTCAACAGCTGAAGCAGAAGTGAGATGTCCTCCGGGCTGGTTTGTAAAGCGGGTGGTCGAGACATATCTATCTTGACCTTTCAGGGTTTGACTCTCTCAATTGCGTCCTATCACTGTTAGAACGACCATTCGGACTTTCTTCGTCCCGCCTTGTCCAATATCCGCCAGAAATGTCGGTCTCCCGAACCCTGCCCTCTCTGGTGTCCCCCACTCGATTTTTTAATGGTTCGGCCGTTCGGCCGTTCGGCCTTACAAAACCATAAGCGCTATAAAGTAGAGATGCGTGCGGTCACTCACCGCTGAGTAATCGGCTGGGGGGTTGTTTTGATTTTGAACGTTCGCGAGGGAGATATATGAAAAATATTTGGCACGATATCCTACTGGGTCGGAAAGTATCGGAGGCCGTATATATGCTCGAATTCATTCATCGCAATTCTCCTCATTTTTTCCTTGTCCGTACCTGAACTTCGATATTTTCTGACAGGACCATGTCGTTTTTCCGGATTACGAGGTCAGGGGTAGCAACCTTCTGCAAGGTTTCGGCTGCAGCGTCTGCAGCCAGTGCCGGGGGCTGGCAGTTATGGACAATGCATTGCTATTTCGAGCCATTTGGACCCGAAAATGATCCTCTGTTCCAGAGCAGATACTTCAAGCAGCACAACCCGGGGAATCATCCTTCTCTGAACGACTCTTGTGTGCGAAAGGTGCCGCTATCCCAGATCCCACCGGAATTGGTCGATGATGCCCTTAACGGGGGTTCAAAGCTCCTCGAGAGATTCTGCGCGGGCGTATGGGGTGGTTATGGTGAGTGCTCTCGAGCGTCGAGAACGCCAAAGGCCTGGGAGGCGCTGGGGATCCGACAGGAACTGTCACAACGGTGTTACTGACTGAATGCTTCCGTTTTTCTATGTACAGGATACGCCATCCAACGGAACATACTGGCTCGACTGGGACGAGATGACTCCAACAAGGACTTGATGCTATGGGATAAAAAGGAGCTATTGAATAGTACCTACGAAGAAGGTAGAACACCGACCAGGGCTTCAGGCTCGATAGAGATTGGTGCCGGGAATGTGTATCACTGACGTCCTGATCTAGGGACGAATGTAACTAATCACTTTGTGGTCGTTGGGAAGACCCCCAGATCCATCGTCCTGTGGGGAGCCCATTCCCCGTCGGATAATCCAGGAGTCCCTCGGGACATGGAGAACCTCGCCGAAATTACGACCGATATCGACATGGACCAGGGCGTGGCCGAGTTCAGGCTGAAGAACATCTTCTACAATGGCGTGGAGCGGACATCGAAAGACCTGTTTCCCCCACCGATCGTGTGGTTGCATTTCCAATACTGCAAATTATTGGTCGAGGCGGGAGTGAGCCACTGCAAGGCGTAGGTAGCTGCCGTTCATGAGTCCTATGGTATGCTCCTTATCTTCAAGCCGCCTAGGGGCATCCGTTCTTGATGAAGTTGTCGCGAAAAGGTGTGTAACACCACCTCTAGTCTCTGGCAACCGTGTGTCACTATATCGTTGTATTTTGTATTATAATTCTGTTATATCTAGGGCAGTATGATATTCCCCTTTCATCATTCGCCAGAACTTCATTTGAGCGTTTGATACTGGTATACCGAACCACGATGGGAAATGAAATAAAGTCCCAATTTTAAGGCTACGGATCCGTGCCAGGGGCGTCATATTGTGACTTGGATATGGCACGTACACAAATGCCCGCGAGCTCTGCGGTAAAGCCATCGAGATATTTCAGGTGGATGACCTCGCCGAGGGTTAACTTCCGGATCGGGATACTGTGGATCAAACTGGGGACATTCTGCAACAATTCCATGTCATGATTGGCGTCCGGATTGCGAGGGTTCGAGATGATATTGCAGAAGAGGGTCAGGACGGCGGTGATGGCGTAAAAGAGGACGACCCTGGTTTGAGAGGCAACCCGTCAGTTATGTTCAGGTGTCAGCCGAATATCGGGCATCGGCACCAGTACCAAAAGCATTCCGGGCTCACCACAGGTAACACCCTGTGAAGATATAACAGTGTTGAACGGCTGGCGGTAATAGAAATACTTGTGCTCGAGGCGATGCCGTCTGGTCTCGGTCCCGCAAGATCGGTCCCCAAGGTTTGGCATCTGCTGCTTGCTTGATGGATGACGGTCACACAATGATAGTATCCGAGTCTCAGTATTACCGCCTGTGTGTTTAGATTGGCGCTCACTGGCGTTTCCCGGGAGAAGTATAAAGTCGGACGGACCTCCAAGGGGAGCGATAGTCGCCATTGCTCTAGAGTCTCATCGAGGCTTCGGATCCTCGATAACAACTCAGATACAGACTGCTGGATGGAATGAGCGGTATACAAGTCTTGGTGCACTTTTGATTTTAGCAGAGAGAGACGGAGATCCCACGGAAAGAGAGGAACCATATGATCATCTATCTGGGGCAAGCTTTGTTGGATATTGATATCGTGCAGCCGCACATAATCGGAGGGGAAAGTAAGCTCGCAATGAGAATCATTGATACACGGTGGTTGGCCCGTCCTCAGGCATATGTCCTTGTCGAATGAATAACATAGCCAGAAGAGATCTCGGATGTGGCATCTTGAATCGCTTTTATCGTATGGGAGCAAAGAAGAGGGTGATGCCTTATTGGTGGGCACAGTATGAGCTCCTAGTGTATAAACAAGACGCGTGGCGATGGATAACGTCGCCGCTGCCGACTGGAGATCACCTAGAAAATATTGGAGTTGCACCTGGCCGTTCAATTAGGCGCCCAAAGAAGGCCATTGGTGAAGGGTCCCCTGGGAGGGGGGGAAGGGATCGTACGCACCAGCATGATCAATGACTGGAGACCGTCGACTGTCATCTCCTCAATTACCGGGGTCACAAAGCTTTGCGCCGCCGAGGCATAGGACTGACAGTCCATGGCGCCGTGGATGTTGTCATCGAGGCCAAACAGGGATACAAGCGAGAGAAAGGCATACACGCACGATTTGGCGCTCGCGGAACCGGCGGAACACACAGCACTGTAAGCGAGGTCCATTGTTTTCCCGAATAACGACCGGCTAATGACAGGGAAGACAAGGCTCTGAGAAGATGAGACATAGATCTGAACGTATCTTTCCACGTTGACTCTACTGGGCAGCTCTGGACGGGGAAGGGGGAACCGCCCGGGATCCGTATACGAACGGAGCGGTTTCAGCCAATGGAGCTCCAGAGAGAATAGCTTGTCAAAGTTAATGCTTTCCCCGACCTGAGACTCAATCCATCTCTGACCTTCGTCCGAGAATACATGGTGTCCTCTGAGATAAGTGACGTTGTTCAGGAATGTATTTGCTGGTCTCAAAGGCCATGTCGAGTCAGGCGTTCGGAGTGATGGGTCTCCAAGTAGATTCTGCGCACGGTGCCATATACTAGCGCTCAACTCCCCACTCGCGTTGGGTGCTGGTAAAGCCACGCGGTTCCTGGCCACAGGTTAGCCGAGAACGCTCGATCTCATGTGTGACTTTAGGCGGCAATTGAAGGACTGAGGGAGGCAACATGAGACGAAAGGAATCAAGGGGTAGAAAGGAAATCGGCAAGGCGCATATCATCTCAAGTTGAAGTCATACCCTGTGTCGACTTGTCCCCGGATTCGATTGAATGTACAGGCGAGATTATGATGCTTGCACCAATTGCACTGCGGGAACTCTGCATCGCACTGGATCTGCCAATCCCGGAGACAGATCGTAAGCTTGGATCCACGTCGTGTCCAATAACACATGGACATACCTTCTTCTTGAAGCAGGAGTCACATGCTCTCCGTCTCGGTGTCCGAGCTCCCTTCCGTGATAGTGGCGAGCGCCGGTTCTGTGGGCGGTTCCCGGCCATTGCTCACCTAAAAGGAAGAGTCATTACTCGTTTCTAGAACATGCAGGGCTGTTTGGAGACCTGAGTGCAGAACAAGCGCCATGCGGCAATGTGGACAGAGCATTGACTGTGAAGAGATCGCGATCGACGTCCATGGGCCACTTATAATCGTTTCCGCTGAATAATCGGAGAGGATCTGGGGTTCGGCCTCCGAGGTTCTCCCAAAAATTATTAAACGGGATGGGCCCCAACTCCCAAGTAAATCAAGAGACGGGAATTAAAAATATACAGATAAATTCTAAAATATTTTACAAAATATAGATATTATTTACTACTCCAATATTAATGTGTATAAGAATAACATTTTCAGACTTTTTTCCTTACTCTAGTATTTGCTGAAAGGGTCCCAAATTTTTACTTGGCATTGCTGAACGGGTCCCAAAACTGCTTGGGATCCATTCAGCAAGGCCATTGAGACACTCCGAACTCTTGGCAATCCTCTACCAAGTTCGGAATTTCTGCAATACACGGATGAGGACGAGTCCATCAATTGAAGGAAGATCTTCGTATTTTATTGTCTACCTTGCTGGTATCTGATGACCTGTCCTACGATACGGAAAGAGTCTTGTGTGGCTGGATAGACCGCTTAATGCTGCTCCAACAGCTTATGCTGGCGAATGAACTCAGACCAGGTTTGAAGTGTCAGTCCAGGGATCTAGTGCATGTCAGTACAAGTCGTGTTTGATCAACGGTTCATGTTGGGCGGAGAGGAGAAGCGTTGACCCACCTCCTTGGCTTGCACAAATTCGTCCCTTGCGAAGACATTTCCACACCTTTCGAAGATCAGCAACTGCTCGGTGAAGTCCAATGCAATGTCCTCTGACATGCCGTCACGAGACATGAGGAGCTGCTGGAATTCTCTGGCGCTGGAAGCGTGGTAGCGAGTTGGGACATTGTAGTCTAACCCTGGAATTAGCACGATGGGCGGTAATGGTATTACTTGGGGGGAACCATACAATTGCCCAATTCAGCTAGCTTCTCGGCCTCGGACAGGGCTTGAGCCCAGAAAGCGATAGTCTTCGTGAAGTAGGTTGAACCGGCTTCGACGACCATATGGACCAACTTGCCTGTGTCAGCGATAGCCACATTGGGCAGCACTGTGTTTGGGCTGTGAGGGAATTTGAGGGTGTAGATGCCCTTGTCATCCTGAACCGTGACATCCGTAAGCACTCAACAATTCCAAAATCAGTCCATATCCGACCCGAAGTATATCTTACCTTGGCGGGCAGATACCGGCCCGGGCTGGTCAGAGTATTCTCAAAGTAATTGGGGAAAAGGATGGTAGTGGTCTTCGCCCACAAGCTGGGTTTCTCGGTCTTGATATACGCGGTAATCAAGCTCTTGCTTTTCCAGTGATGCACATTGAGGAACTGACCTCCAGACAAGGCCACGGGGTCCGGCAAAGCGCTCCAGACAAAGTGTTGGAGGGTGGTTGTCGCCGCGGCAGCATCCGCAATAGCCTTGCCCTGCTCAATCTCGGCCGCGGCGGACTGCTTCTGCCAAAAGTCGGTCAGTGCATAGATAATGTGTGCACCGGCGAAGGCCGCAGTAAGGACTTCTCTGCCGTCCTCCAAGTCGGCACGCTGGACCTCAACGCCGCGGGCAGCGAGTTCCCGCGCCGCAGGCTTGGAAGGGTCGCGGGTGATTGCCCGGATATGATAGAGATCGGGGTGCTTCAGGAATTCTGCAACCACGGATCCGCCCTGTAGTCACCAAGGTAAGCGACCTGCATAGCCCTGAGTCATGTTGGAAGACCTGCCTGAGAGCCAGTGGCCCCGATCACCAGGACATTCCGCATGGTAACGGTCGTTTTCTTTTCAGTTCAGAGTAAACTTTCGAGGTACCTCGATTGTATTCGGAGCTTTTTCAGGATTGACAGCATTGGCAGACATATATATTTCTCGATATGGATGGTTCAGAGAACTACCAGATGAGACTGCCACCGCTGAGTCAGCGGTAGGGTGCAAGTGATCGACGATCGACATTCCCCTGCAAATGTGTTCAAAGATGCTCTCTCTGAATCCCTCTGATATCCGACGCTCTGGAGACCGGAATGCCACGGATCACTGATATTTCGTATCCTTTCAGACGACAGCCAACGTATTCGCAGTAGCTGCGCTCCGTTCCGCTTAATCATCGGTGAAGAATAACTAACCATCTGTCATAAGAGGACGGTGAACCCAGGGAACCCACACGGGCACTATCTTTTCTCGGTTCCGATCCGAAGATGCGAGACCCGATAGTAGCCCATCCCGAGGGGAAACAGTACGCAACAATATAAATTCGGAGATTTCAATCAGACAAAGTGCGACCACTGATGCGTGTCCGATTAACCGCTCATTACTGAGTTTCCAAGTTCTCCAGACAGCACTATTGAGCTGCAGCACACTTCAAGATGAGCCGCGTTATTCTTGTCAGCGGAGCTAATCGAGGTGAGCAATAACCTTTTCCCGGTATGGTGTATTCTGAGTTCAATTCAGTCTGTAGGCATTGGGAGAGGCCTCGCGACACATTATCTTGCCCAGCCGGACACTACTGTCATTGGAACCGTTCGGGATATCTCATCCGAGAATGCGAAAGATCTTGTCACGCTACCAAAGGGTGACGGCTCGCGTCTAATCGTCGTGCCGCTTATCGCCGACAGCCCCCCAGACGCTGCAGAGGCCGTATCCGAGATCCAGACGCAGCATCACATCGAGCACATCGACATTGTCATTGCCAATGCGGGAATTTGCAACCACTACGGCCTAGTGCTGGAAATGGCCGACTCGGACGTCCTTTCCCATTTTGAGGTGAACACACTGGGGCTACTTATATTGTTCAGGGCCGTGGCACCGTTGCTGCAGAAAGCCAGTACTCCCAAGTTCGCTTATATCTCCACGCTCCTGGCCAGCATTCATGAGATTGAACAGATACCCTCGTTGACTGCCGCCTACGGAATGTCAAAGGTGGCTGGAAATTATCTGATCAAGAAGATTGATGCGGAGAATGAGGGCTTGATCGCTTTGGCAATCGATCCGGGGTAGGTTTGACATTCGCACCACCATACCACAGAGATCGGAATGGCTGACACCGGCGCCCTTTTTCTTAACGATTAGAATGGTTCAAACGGATATGGGTAGTCGCGCTGCGCAAGCCCATGGACTGGAGAAGGCTCCGGTGACCGTCCAGGATACCGTTCATGGAATTACAAGCCAGGTATGAGGCAATATGTCGGTTATGACTAATTAAGGACTGCTAGTTAACGCCTTTGTAGATCGAGGCAGCCACAAAGGCAACTACATCCGGTCAATTTGTGAACTATAACGGGGAGAAGGTGCGCTGGTAGATGAGGGTCGAAAATACCAAATGCTTCTTATGCCTGCCTAGGTAGGACCTATAAAATGATTGTTTAAAATGATTGATTTACCACAGAGCATGTGCCATAATCCTCCTGTTCCTACGCGGAAATGGATGTTTTTTATGTAGAGTTTGGCCTGAACCTTACTTCTGAGACTTTCAGAATATGAGTTTTAAGCACGTGAGACAGGAAATCTATGAATCATCCATATACCTTAGAATTATGACAGCAAATGCCAGTAAATGTATGTGGAAGAGTATGGGGTACATGAAATATATATATATATATATTATATCAGCAACGAGACAATGCTAGGATAGTTCAACACAAGGACATCCTGCCCATGACGCATCCTCCCCAAGATACAGCTGATAACTTGCCCAATTGCGCTTTAGTTTGCATAAGCTCTCGGAATTCATACATCAGCCTTGAACTTCACAAGGTGCCTGGGAAATGGAAAGCTTTCGATACCAACCCTGGTGAACAGCGGCTGGTGATGAGGACACCACTTCTTCAAGTAGCAAACCATATGGTCATGTGCTTCGTCCTGCGCACTGGACAATCCAACAAAGAATGCGCGTAGCTTCACAACATAATCCCAGCCAGTATGGCGCATTCAAAAACTTGTGAAAATGAAAATAAAGGCTTACAGCCAAATAAATGCACTGGCAAAACCTACAAAAAAGGCAAAAGTCATGGTGCAAGATTTGTGCAAAGTCTTCGCGCTCGATGGCGAGGGTGATGGACTCGCTGGCGAAAGATTCGTCCTGGTAGCGTCATAGGTGATATTGACCTGCTTCTCTGTCACGGCGATAAGAGAGGACCCAGTAGCCGGATCATTCTCTACGTCAAATTTGATGGCCCTGTGTGCCGGAGTTCTGGCGCCAGGGAATACATTTACGGCTGGCAGCATCACCACCTTCGTCGGTGGATGCTAAAGACAGTCGTTCTTAGTAATGCAGCTCCTGTAAGAGCTAGTCGGGGACTACCGTGGCGATGTTGGATGTACCTGGTGGATATTCGTCACATTCTGTCCTGTTTTCCGGTTCAAGGTACCCGTTGACCCCTGAGAAACCAGCATTTTGTCAGCTAGCGATCCATCTGACAATGTGTGGATGGGGGAATAATGGAAAACTTTTACCTCTACAGAATCCGTCACAACCAGCTTTTTTCTTCGCTTCTCGTAACCTGCATCGTTTGATCCTTTCCATGTCAACTTCTCCGCGTCCATGGTCCGCTGGTTGTTTCGGTTGAGCATTCCTATATATGAATGTTAAAAATTCCAGCTGATAGACTATAAATCTGTTTGCGAAGATATGCTTCTCTTCCCTTTACACATCCTCTCAATCAAGTCTAGAACGCCGTCCACAGAAAAGCAGTGGCAATCATAGGTGAGAAGAAGTCATCAAATGCAATGTAGAGAAATTAACCGATGAGTCCTGGCTGCCTAACATAAACTGAAATTAAATATCGCTATATAGGTTGGATACACTAAGTTGGCCTGAGGTCGTTGTCTTCAATCTTGATGTCGGCACCTCGATCCCGCAGCATCTGGATCACCTCTTTGTTGCCTCGCAATAATGCGGCCTGCTGGACATTGCCAAACACCCCTCCAACGTCGATGTTGGAGCCTCGATCCAGCAGCATCTGGACCATCCTTTGACGGTCGTAATGTATTGCAGCATGGAGTGCATTCCCAAAAAATTGATTCCGGGCGTTCACATCGGCACCTCGATCTAGTAGCATCTCGACTACCTTTTCATGGCCTTGTAATGATGCCATCAGGAGTGCACTGCCACTGTCTCCTCCTTGAGCATTAACATCAGCACCTCGATCTAGCAACATCTGCACAATCCTTTCTTGGCCTTGTACCGATGCAGCTTGAAGTGCAGTGCCGTAACGACCTCCTTTGGTATGGATATCAGCACCTCGATCCAGCAGCATCTGCACTATACTAGCATAGCCTTCATATGATGCGGCTTGAAGTGCATTGCCAAAGTCTGCGCCGTATTCGGATGCTTCTGCTTGAGCGTTGGCATCGGCACCTCGATCTAGTAGCATCTGGACTATCTTTTGATGGCCTAGTAATGATGCCACCAGAAGTGCACTGCCATACTCTTCTCCATGGGCGTTGGCATCAGCGCCTCGACCTAGCAGTAACTGCACAATTCTTTCGTGGCCTCTATACGACGCGGCCTGGAGGGCAATGCTATAAAATTCACGTTGTGCGTTGACGTCGACTCCTTGATCCACCAGCTTCTGCACCACCTTTTCGCATATGGGCAGACAGCCCGCCCAGGCAGCAATTGCGAGCAGGTTATGCCCGCTGTCGTTCACGCGGAAGATATCAATCTCCGCGTGTTCCCACCAGTCCCATACAATGGTAGCTAGCGAGAAACTACACATGGCGAAAACGGCGGCATCACCGGGACAGAGCTCACGGAAAGTAATTTTTGCCTCTTCGGTCATGTAGTGTCTGAAATGCGGGGTGTCGGAAAGCTTGTCAAAATCATTGCAAGTTCTTTGATGCCATCTCTGGTATTGCACGCTGCTCTTATTTGGCGACCCGAGGAAGGTTTTCAAAAGAGAAGCCAGCTTGGTCGTCTCGATGCCCCTTGCCCCGTTGACATGGTGGGCCCAAGAGTGCCGCATGTATATATGGAACGGATGAAGAGTATGGAAGCCGTCATCCGATTGTGCTGGCTTTTCGGGTCCCTCTGTGTCGCCTGGCTTCTCTGACTCGAGCTCCAAATTGGCCTCCAGCTTGGCGTCCAGTTCCAAGTCATCATGTTCATACTTCTTGACGAAATAAGACAGGCAAGCGCTGGCCGCGTGGTAATGGGCATGGGAAACGGACCAGTCTTCTTTGGTTTCCAGGTATTCCCTAACCGAGAGATGCGGAAAACGCCACACCTTGAGTTGAGAATCCAGCGCAAGGAAATTATTACAAAGAGACACCAGACCTTGCTCATCCACTGTGTCATTCAAGGGCAGCAGATCTCCGTCCGGGCTCACACGAATAGCAGCCAGAATCTCGACGGTGCTCATCGGTTCGGATGCGGACATCACCCATCGAAGAGCGCGCTTTGTGATGGTCTGTTCAGACTTCCCCTGGCTTTCAATCTGTCGCCAGACCTCGTCGTATGCCTTCTGAAGATCCTCTGGGAGGTTCTCAAGGCGCTCCCAGACACCTGCACGGGACTGGCACTTCGCGATCTGGTGGATCTGCAAAGCCGCCCACTGGAACATGCCCTGGCAACGCTCTAGCAACTTTCCGATGATGTCGGGTTTCAGGGGGTTTAAGAACGGGGCAGTCTTTGTGAGCCTGTCAAGCTCTTCCTGAAGGAATTTTTTAAGGTCATCGAGGCTGTCGTCTGCCCGAATGCAAACGTTGGGCCTGCTTTCTAACTGATATTCGATGTTTGGGTCAGGCCGGCTTGAGATAAAGATCCTCACAACGCGGTTGGATTCCGATAAGAACGATTGCAGTGCTTCTATTAGTTGATACCGTGAGGCCGGATCACACTCGTCCAAGGCATCAATCACTAGCGTGGTTCTCGGGTAGATATTCAAGGACGCGAGGATTTGTTCCTTGCACTGTTCCAAGCGGAAGTTCGTGCCATTCTCCCGAGCCTTTTTACAAGACGCTTGAAGTTTTGCCTGCATAGCCTCGGGATTACTTGCAGTGGTCGAAAGCTGACGCACAAAGCTTTGGAGAATGGACAGCGGCTGCGAGCGGGATTCGTCCCGGCCACAGTAGAAAAATGCAAAGCCCTCGTCATTTGGAGGTTTGCTGGTCTGGGTGCGGACCCAGTCGATGACGGCAGATGTGAGATATGTCTTGCCGGTACCCGGATTCCCTTGTAGCCAGAAGAGAGCCGACGACTTTGTCGAGTCCCAACTACGGAAATCCTTGTGTTGGAGCAGCCACTCACCCGTGCCGGGGGTTCGCTTCTCTTTCACGTTGTCGTGGTGCTTCCCAAACGGAATGGGCGAGATCCACTCCAAGAGCTCGATACGCTCGCTTTCACTCATATGTTTCAAGAGATGGTGCACGCCCTCGTCCACCCGAGCCATTGGGGCCTGCAAGGCATCCAGCATTGCATTCGCGCGTCTGTCTGAGTCTGAACTGCGCTGGCTCTCGCATGCTTGGACGTCTCGGAGGAGCTCATCTTCTTGCTCACCAAGGCTCGAAAGATTGCCCGCCGCCTTGCCCGGATTTACAATAGCTTCAAGCGTGCGTCTAGCAGTGTTTGCGGAGAGGAGCTTTCCTGACTCGGCCAACAGATCTAGAGCAGTTTGGTAGATTGTTACCAGCGCCGCCTCAAGGTTTGTTTGTACCGGCGACAGCTCGGCCTCGGGATCCTGGGGCAGGTAGACATTTTCATAGACCTGGCCGCGACTGGTAATGCGGACAACTCTTTCTGTGGTGGCAAGCAAGGCACCCATCTGCTCGCTCTCGTTCACGGGAATCTACGAGATGCCATGAGATCCAGGTTAAAACGTAAAAAGAGATTGGGGTTAACCCACCTTCATCATCGATTTGACCAGGTCCCATGGTAGACTCGCTTGGGGTGGCGCAAACTGCACAGCAATGTCGCCGGCCTTCTCCAGCCAGCCAACGATCTGCGTGGTATATTCTCGAAGAACAATCTTTTTACCACCTACGTTGACGTTCCAGAACTTCTTCTCGCACTCTTCCTGTTTTCTGTTCACCTCTCCTACGAGATCTTTGATGCTGGACTCCATAGATCCGGACTTGGGATTGCCGAATCCCATTTCCTTCAGGAGAGCTTGCTTGGCCGGGGGCAGTTGATTGAAAGCGTCCCGCCAGCGGTCCTTCACTGGAGGACCTTGCTGAGGGATGGATCCCTTCTCGGGTTTTTCGTCTGGGGTGGTAATCGTTTCCGTGGCAAGGTGAGCCGCGCTGGCCGATTGTCCTGATGGGACTGCGGCTGAAGAAGCGTTATTCGCATTTTCCGGCTTGGGCTCGGCCTTCACAAAATCAGAAATGGAGCCATTAGCAGTTGAACAATCAAATCCCCTAATCTCCACTTACTTGTGCTTTTGGAGCATCCTGGCCGCTTCTCCTCTTTGAAAACTTGGCCTTGAGGCCACTGAATGGGTTGCAGGAAGGCATCGGATGCAGTGTATTATGGAACTGCTATTCAGCTGATGGTTGAAGACGGGAGAAAATGGTTTCAAGAGATGGGGGAGGAATTAGAGATCGCCTGTTCAGCTCAACATGCATGGACTCCGTCCGATGGTTCGCACAGCTCGGGAAATGATGTACCTGATCTCCAAACAATTGACCCGTTTCGGCATACGGCACACTGGATCTCAGCATAGCCCAATGATGTTGCTCTACAACTCGTCAGTGGCTGGTTTTGCCCCGCACTAATGCTGCTAACAAAGCATGAACACCACGTCAATTACGAACTGCTTACTAGATTTTTCTACCGTGTTATCAGACTAGATGACGAACAATGCTACAATGTATGATACAAATCTTCACCCTTGACGCACCAATTAATGGGATGCTTCGTATCTATACCCTTTGGCAGTCCATTCCCCACATTTCAAACATCATCCAGGTATTCTTCACGACATGGGATTGCCTTCAAACGAATTTCTGCATTCCATTAATATATTTCTAAGGGGAGGTGTCGATATAACAAGCGGAAACGATATTTCAATTACACTCTTTCTCTGCACAACCGAATCATGACTATCTACTCACAGTTGCCTAGTGTAAGTAAAAACACCCGGTTTATCTCGGGTAGTTCAACCCCTTTTCAAGGTTCACCCGAGTACCGGAACTGGAATATATCACCAGTTGTTCCATACGAACCAACAGGTGGCATATCCTTCATAGGGCCTATGGGCTCCCCCCGATAATCAGATATTTCCACGCGGACAAGATCGCGATTTGAAATGTAGATCTTGTCGGTTGGGAAGGCATGTGTAAACTTGAAGGTGCAGCTATGTTTCCAGTCCGTTGTGCACAGTTCGGACTTTTGGGTCACCCCAGGAACAGGAGGCTTCACTCCCAGGTACATGTTTGTCTTCTTGTTCCAGATAACGTATCCGAAGCCGGGTTTGAACTAAATAGGCGTTAGGATGATGAGCCAGGCTAGTGCAGATGCAAGAGACATACCCTGTACCGGACTGTGTCTCCATCACGGATCACATAAAACTTGGTACCAGCTTGGTAAACCTGCGAATCATCATCGAGGGATTCTTTCATTTGAACGGAATGCGATGAGGCAAAATTCGCGGCGTCGTTTTCGAGTACATCACCCATGGCTGGTGTTATCCCCACGGTACTAGTATTAATATTAAGTGATTTCCTCCGAGTAATTCTATCAAGCACAGAATTGTATTGATCACCAGCGAAAGGATTGGATGAGGTATTTTCGCAGACTGTTGGATATAGCCACTCATTAGGGTGCTTCAACCAAAATGTGACCCAGCCGTCCCACTCATCCGGGACAGGGTCAGGCTTTTTTACTACTTGGCTTTCCTTGAGGGGTGCCAAGTTATTGAACTTCTGTTTGACCCATTCATAGCCTGGAATGAGCGATATCATGTCTTCCATGGAAAGGAGGTCATCTTGCTGCAAGGGCTATTAGCACTGCTATGGCCTAGTGATATTGACAGCGATGAGAAACTTACCTTCGAGATCCTCCAATTGTAGTGAGATGCCACCGTACCGCACCAAGCAGGAGGGCTATGTAACAATCGTCAGTTCAGAGTAAACTCATCGGAGAGCTTTTTCAGAGCAACCCACTTGTTGCACAATAAAGTGTCACCTCCCTTGGCCTCCCATGCCAGATTATTGCTCAAGCTGCTGTTCTGGCGATTTGAGCTATGGTTGCTTGAATCTTCATAGCTACCGCTGGCAGAGCCTTGAGCGTATGTAGACGAGAAGGAGGCGGCAGCAGAAATCTTCAGTGCGCGAGCTCTTTCTTCTACTTTACCCTCTGCAGAGGAATCGCTGCTCTCCGAGGAATGGAGGCGTCCACCTAGTTCAACTCGGGAGGCAAAGAAAGTTCCTGCGAATGTTAGCTCTTCCTGAAGGGGGCCAGATAAAGAGGTATTAAGGAAAGTACCATATTTTCTTCTGAAAAATTGCACTGCCTCTGGCGTGGTGATGTTCTCGAGGTCTTTTTTGCACTCGTCTGAGATATCAAGGCTATCTCCATCAAGCTCGAGGACAACTCTGGGGAACTATGATATGAGGGTTCTCAGCAACAGTATTGAATGCGAAAGCCTAGGTAACTCACATTATATGTGATTGTCATGCGCCTAGAGTCTGAAGTTGTGTTTGACGCTGTTTTTACCTCCGCTTGCGATTTGTATCCGACCTTTACACCAGCAGTGACCCCAAATGCTCCTCCTCCTCTGCACTTATTAGCAAGATCAAATGTGGGAGGTGTGTACCTTCTTGGAAACTTACACAGAGACCTCAGCTGAATGTTCAGAGAGCGAACTGTCGGCAATTGCCTCTGCCACCGAAGTCTTGTTTTCAGAAACGTTGATGTAAGAGTCGTCTTGTACAAGAAACCTTGGAATTCTCAGGTGATGCACCTGGTAATGGTACAAAATTAGCAGAAGCGCAAGGGCGACCAATAGAAGGGGACGCATACCACAGGTTCGGTGTCACTAGCTGAAGGGGCAGCACCGTCCTTGCCACCACTATTGAAGACAACTTCGAAATCATGGAACTTTCGCGGCTTCAATGCAAAAGCTGTTTCACCAGTCAACCATTAGTCTCAAGTCAATCAACCTTCAAGGTTATGAATTCACACACCAGGGTACATCGCCCGTTCGACCTTTCTCTGGCCAGTGGCAAGCTCCCTCACGTAGTTGCCATGGAGGATAGAATTGTTCTGAAGGACAATGTACCATTCTCTCTCACCCATGTCCGCCGGATGGCTGAAATATAGTTTGCCTCAGTCTCAGTAAAATACTATTCGCGGGGGCCAGGATCTTACGTGATCTTTTTGCTAGCGAGAGCTTGGAAATTGCTGTGATTGTAAGAGCTCGTAAGCTTGTTGACTTCGGCCGATGTCAACCCTGGTTTCTAAGTACGGCAGTCAATATAAACAAGCATCTGTGAGCGACGACAGGGCACTTACATTGAGCGATAGATCTAACTTCTCCTTGAGGAAATCTTTGGTGCCCTCGTCCAACTCCGTTGGGATTTTACGCAGCTTCAAGTAGACTTTGTATGATTTGCCGGTGGTCGATTCCCGAGTAATCTAACAGCTCGACATTAGCATAGTACTTGGTCAACAATCCAGGTGGCAGACTGACGGGGCGACCATTGTTTCCCTTCGCTTTCTTACCGCCACCGTCTTCATTCGATCCATCGTCATCTTTGGGCTTCTCCTCGCTGCTCTTCAGAAAGTCTAGGTACATATCGAATCTGAGTTTATCGTCCACTTCAGCTCCCTCATCGTTGCAGAACTTGCTGGACTTTCTATCCAAAAGTTATTATTTGTTTAAGTAAGCAATCTCATATAGGTGGTCAACTTACTGCCTCCAGGAGAGGGCGTTCTCGCTGATCAAGCTCTTCCGAATATCCGCTAAGGTTGTGTCCTCTACATTTTTGATGCTGCCGATGGTGACGAACTTTTCCATCTGGCTAGTCTTGGTCACACTGTCGAACAAGAAGATACTGAACATGGCTTGGCGGTCGGTTTTGTTTGCTTGACATTGGTTAATTTTGTGAACTTATCCCGCTCAAATGACCACCAGCATCTCTCACCTTCCCCTGAATCCTTAATTTGATCCTCCAGTTCCTTCAAGGCTTTCTGCTGTTTGGGGTCCGTTTTGGCTTCATTTGGTGGCTGGGAAGTAGCCCCCTTACTTTGATCTTTAGTACCGGGCATGATGACAAAGAAAATCAAGTTAAATCAGGATCTTAATGATAAGTGTTGATTTTGCAAGAGTCCAAGGTATCCAGGTGAGCGGAGATTGTTTTCCTCAGTTTCCTCAATCCTTAAGGCAAGAAATGTAGCCTGTATTTAACATATCAGTCACTCACAGTTAGCAATTAACTTCTTCACAAGTCAATTCCCACAAGAATCCACGTAATTAAGCGCCTACGACGTCACCTGCGCAAGATATCAGGAGGAAGAAACAAGTAAATCTGATCTTCAAAGATTCAGATGAACTATTCGATGAACTTGTAAATCCTTACTGGATTTGATAGCGCATCAATGGGGGTGATTGCGCACGCTGACAGTCATATGTGGAGCCTAGAGGAGATGTGGAGCATGCATTGATGGTACCCCATCAGAGCTGAATATGGAAGCAAAGTACAGGAAATAGATCTTCATGTTTTTTGAAGACATAAAGGCAGTATTGTTTCAGCTCTCATTGACCGAACTTTAGACCTGCAGTTCACAGCAAGCAGGTGTTCAGTAGTGTGGAGTAATTTAACACTCGGTACTATTGCACCTAGAATTCGCCGCCAGATCCCATGCCCAAAAAAAAGGTATAAGACCAGTGTTTATACCTAATAGTTTTTATTTGGTGGCTCCATACAAATATGGGGCACTAAGCCGAGTCCTGGAACTAGGGCACGCTCTGTGAGTGCATAGGTAATGGGCACCCACTAGCGCTTTTCCCCGCAGGGTCTCAGTCTTAATTAAGTCCTACCGTCAGTCCACGCCTTGACGTGTATTATTCATACTGTCAATGTCAATAAGATAATGAACCCACTGTGCATGAGTAGCAATCGCCGTGACGTCAAGATATGCTCTTTGCAGCGGCGATCGCATCATTTATGCTGGATCAGCGGTTCACCCCGAGTGGGAGGCAACCCAGAGATAGGCTGTGGCAAGTTGATGATCTAGATCGCTGCATTCAACTGCATATGGATCAGTGATAATCGTCAAGCCATCACACAGCATAAGCTGGAAGACATTTAAACAAAAGTCAATGCCATTAAGGTGTATGATATATGGGTAAAACTTTATCCATGTAAGCTTATTACGCCGCAAAGTCTCCGAATACTTGTAGCTTGACAGATGGGTGATTGCAGTATATGTCCGACGGTCGTGTCATCACATAGAGGGGTACCCGACACTGAAATGATCCAGTTACAAATTACTCCCTAATGTGCTGAACGAAACAGACCAATAGTGTGCCCTAATCAGAAGCACCCAATGAGGGGGTTACCCATATGGGTTAGGCATGATCCACCTATCTGCATTGGCTGTGGGTTGGATCACGGCCAACCCAGATCCACCCAGTTTGCGGATGTGAATGCGACTGTAGAACGTGGGAGTGGTGATGCAACGATGGTAAGATTCTAATATGACCCTTTGCACAAATAGTCTACTATAAGTGTGGTAGAAGGCTTTTGCGGCTAATGTAGTCAGCTCACACATGGCGGTTGGTTGAAAGTACTAGTAATGCCTAACTGATGTGTTCGCCATCGAATTCGCAAATCCCGAAGAATTATCCGTGTAAAACCACTCCAGCGTCGAGAATTCTTCTGATTTCCTCCTCGCAGAGCGCAGTGTGTGGCGAAAGGGCATTATTAACATGGTTGCACCACGCTGTCAACGAATCTGGGGAGAGTAAGGTTGTCCCCGTCGAGAGGAACTCGTCCAAAAGTTGCTCAAGCTCTGATATAAAGTCTTTCTCCTCATCATGAATTTCGTATATCTCCTCTGGAGAGATCTCTCTATCTCCATATTCTTTATGCACGCATGTGTGAGCAATCTCCATTGCTTGACATGCAATAAATCGGAGGACACAAGGAGCAAGGTGTTCCTGGGCAACCGGCTCTAGTAACGGCGTGATAGATTCCAGCACAATCTGAAGGATTCGTAGACGGTCTTCCATACATCCATCAGTCCATGTTTGAAAAAGCCCATTTAGAAGTCTTATAAGCCCAGAGCATCCATTCAAAGAACAAGGACAACAGCAATCATCAAGGATATCATCGATCAGAATCCTGCGCATTAGGTCCTTGGATTCTGTGCTCAGTTGGTCCAATTCAGAAGTAACACGCGAAATACTTTCCATTGAATGCAGAATTTTGCCCACATCATGTGCCAGGTAATGTAGAGCGGTGATGGAAGAGCCCAACTTCTGACGGTTAATGTCAGCACCTTTTGTAATAAACCAATTTGCTTTCATCAAAAAGGTGTTGAGGCTGCAAGGCGGCGTGGTCCACCATAAGTCCATAAGGCAGGTCCTGCAGTTTTTGTTCTTCTCACTATCCACATTCCGGAAGCCCGAATCCCATAGTAGATCTGCTAAGTCCAAGTTGGCCCCAATGCAGTCATAGACGGACCATTCATACTGCATCTCTAGATCATCAATGCCACCAAGTTTTTCTTTCAGAAGCCGGTAAATGTCGTAGGCTTGTGCGTCCAAAAGACAATCTGACCCGATATCTACACGAGAGTTCACCTCATCTGGCAAGTAACTGTCTGCTAAGACTCGCAGCTGCCTTCTGCGGTCAGCAAGTGCTTTTACCGCCAATTTCGAAATAGCTGGGTTATGCTGTTTTGCAGCAACTTCCAGCACCGAGGGTCCGAGCGCAAAACCACCGGTGCTAATCAAGAGATTAAGGCTTTCTTCGCAGTCTGCTTCGCATGCTCGTACGACACAGGTCTCGGTCGGTGTATGGCCATACTGCAGGAGTAAGGAGAGGCCTGGAGGCCATTGTGTATATGATTCTACCCAGGTCTGAAAATCAACGCCCTTTTCCAGCAGTAGCAGTAACAGATTCCTTGACCTATAGATAAGAGGCTGTAGTTCTTCCGGAAGATCAATATCTGGGATAAATTAGCTTTTGTTAGGCTTCTTCTACGCTGAAATGGTTACCTTGGAGCTCGTTTTTATCGCAAAAACTCCATAGAAGTGGGATGCTGTAATCTCGCCAGAGAGTATCATTCCAACGGAGGTCGCCTCTGGTTATATAGTACGCTGGATTAAACACGTCAGGGTGATGCCTCCAGTCAAGAGCACGGTGGGTCATATAGCCTCCAGCATCCAGCAGGTCAGAACAAATGTCAAAAGTAGCTTGCTGCTGACAGCAATTATCATAATAACAGACCATAAAGTCTGCAGGAGTTTCCCCTTTATAGTTGACTTGGTTGGGTGATAGACCCGTCTGTAGCATGGCATTGATCAAAGCACGCCAAATCACCCACGAGTCATCATCCCAAAGATGGCTGTATGCTTGCCAGCGAGTTATTACCTAGTTCATTTGTCAGAAAAAAAGTGGAAGTCCACATATGGACCAACCAGATAAAAGACAGTCCACTCCTATTTAGCCCATGGAAAGAAACTCACATGCAAGATTGTATTGCCATCGGGTAAGGTATCCGAGTGGGCCCCTTCGCCATTCATAAATAGCTTCAGTAGCTTTTGCTGAGCGCGTTCTATCTTAGTGCCGGCCATTCGTGACTTTAAACCTTTCTCTGTCTCCCAAAGAAGACAGAATACGGGTGAATCCCTTGGTACGATTGGCCGAAATTGAAGATTTGGGGAAATGGAAAAGCCTTCAGCTCCTTTTTGGATAGTCAGTGATGCTGAGACCGAAAACTTGAAGATTCTGTTGCTGATGATCCATTGTTTAGAAAACAAAACAATTGTCTGGTCGTTCTTGTGAAATGGGCAGACGGGTTGGCTGGCTGCCATCGAAATTTCCGATGGCAAAAAGGTGGATCGACTGCGATAGGGACACGTGCATCTGTTCCAGTTTTTCCTTTTTTGAGGGGCACTGGGGCTGACTGTATCGTTATTCTCTTGCTGGGTAGCAGATGCTGTTTTTAGCGAGGCTGTTATTAGAGTTGGACGGGGACGAAAGCCACGAATACTCAGTTCCTGAAATGCAAGCAGTTAGCATTTCTGTAATTATGGTAAGGGCCTTCTGGGCAGAGTGATTTTCGTACTACTTGATTCAGCTGCCGCTCAACCATATCTAATCTGTTATCGATGCAAATACTGCTCTGGTTCAGGCGATTTGTGGCTTCTAAGATATGTCTCGTATTCGACGCGCTTGATGTGAAGCTCGTGACCATTAAATTGATCTGCCTCTGGTTGCTGGTGATCATAGAACTGCATTCCATCCTGTCAGGTTTAAAGGACTCCAAGAACAGAATTTTTGTTTTCTTCCTACTGTCCACTCACATGATTAGCATTTGGAGGGAAGTATTGAGGGTTGCCTGCAGCCAGTCTAATAACTCCATGAGTGCCATTAGGGTCTCCCGCCTGAAAGGGTATAATAATCGATTGACTTGGCGGCTAAATCCGGTGCAAATGTTGGAACCATTGGTCTGAGTACACTTTTGCAAGATAATTTGGAGTCTGTTTAGCCCGTCTTGACAGGAGCAAATAGAGCCAAGTGCGACTGTCGTGGATTGAGCCGTCGAAGAGCCAAATTGCGCAAAGCCCTCATTGAGGACCCTTTCTAAAACCTTCAATATTCCCTCTAATGTTGTTATCCGAGATTCGACGTCGCAGATTTGTTCATGAAATGCCTTCAACGGCCCATAATAAGCGAGTAAGCCCTGGCAGATTGAAAGGCCGAGAGATATGACGCCTACTGCGCTACCAGTCACAGAAAATGCATCCATTGGAGAGGAGTCGTAGTCCGTATACTCAGAAGGGCTGTAAGAAAATGATAAAGTGAATTAAATGGCAAACTGCGGACAGAGATATGTATTAAAGGAAAGTGAAGGGAGGTAAGCAAGGCCAGGCTGAATTACAGAGCCGCGCAAGGCTGTGTTTCAGTTCACAACAAACTTAACAAAATATCTAAGCCTCATAATAGCACTATTGGTTAAATACTGGAAAGGATGGTATGACTGAAAAGAATCTTAAGCATAATAATAACTCAAGGTACAGACACAAAAATACCATATTCCAGTAGAAGTTAAGCTGGTGGCTATGGAGACTGCCTCTCATAACAGCGTTACAACCTTCGGAAGCATTCAACCAAGAGTGGCAGGACACTTGCCCGGTCAGCCATCCAATAGCCAATCGGCGAGCGCGGGAACATGAGCGTCGGTCAGACCCCTGGTAAGGTGGAAGCACAATAAAACTCCAAATCAGGGAAGGCCTGTTCTCCACTCCCTGTGGTCGAATTGTAGCTCAGGATAATAGGGTCTGTAGATTGCTTATATGTACTCAAGCATCTTTAATCTCCTTATCACAAGGTGACATAATTGTCCGAAGCCTCGTGTCGCCTTTGAATTTCTAAAGTAAATACGGATATCGAATATGCTGGGATTAAACGGATATCTGTATTCGCATCAGCCCTACAGCCCGGCCAGTCATTGTTTCTCGTCTCGGCATCTTGACTTCCTTGGTGGATCAGCTAAGGAATGGTGTTAAAATGAAGAGGGTCGGGTGAGTGTAGGGTGAGTATAGGTGTAAAAGGTAAGCGAATCACCTTGACACCCGACTCTCCCTCTTATAGCAGCAACGTCCGGATCAGGCGGGAAGGTGCTGCTCGTAGATTTTTGCACGGTATTACTACCTACCTGGGTACAGTCCATCAAGTCAGTTAACCAGAATCCAGCTAAGGCATATTGTTTGGAATTCTCCTTGTCGGGGGTTCACCATTAGGTCACCGTGGACTTCGGAGCTCTCCCGTTGAGAGCTTTCCACTGATGATGTCTGAATAACAGTGACGATCACGCTTTGAAATATGTAACATAAAGATAACCCTGCCTCTGGTTTCTTCATATATTTTGGCACCCTGCCTTTATTCATTATACTCTCTAAGAATAGAATGTTAATCGTGATATGTTGATTATCCTTACATGAGAAGAATCCAGACTAGCGCAATATGTTTTGACTATATACACAGAGAATAATGCAAAGAATTGGCATTGCAACCCATTCATTCATCAGCTCCCATTGCAAACTTTGACAAGTCCTCGGAGCTACCAAAGAACACATTTGCCTCTCCTCCATTCTCACTCCAACCTGCATACTGCCAGAACCTAGCAGCCTCCCAGCCTGCCGGCAGCGTGCCCATTTCCTCAGCCCAATTTGCCAACCATAATGCATGGTCCGCGCCAAATGTCGCATTGTTCCCAGCACACTTTGCCCACCAGCCGGCCGAGAGGAACAGGATTGGCGTGCGACCCGTCCGGAACTTGTACCTGTGAGAGAAATCGAGCATCCAGTCTGTGATTTCTGTTGGCGTCATCCCATGACAAAGCTTGCCCGCAATATTGCCTTCCATCTCCAGCACCCCAGGCAGCGTCTGTCCGTCCGCGGTCCAGTTCCCTCCATGTTCGATGAAGAAGTCTGCTTGATCGGCTCCGCTGCTTTCCGCCGCAGCTGCGAAGTGCACTGCGCCATGGGGGATCCCCGCATCGAGAGCGCCGGCTGTTTGAAAATGGAAGCGTACGTTTCGATAGCTGATCCCTTCAGTTGCCTGTGGCGAGCGTCGGTCAATAATAAGTCCGGGTCCAGGTCGCATACACTTAAGATAGGTCGGAGAGAAACGGGGAATGAACGCGTCGATCGTTTCGATCGATCTCACCCACCTTGATGAAGACAAACTTCACCCCATCAGCGACTGCGGCCCTCCAGTCTACAGGAAGATGGACCTCAAACAGATCGATTCCTTCAGTTCCATTCTGTGTCGCAGTTGCAGAAGAGAGAGGCAAAAGGCCCAGGAGGAGCCACCACGGCATACGAAATCGCATGATTCTCGGAGAAATTAGTACCTCTCTATAAAGTCCAAAAAATGGATCGCAGCGTGGAGTGACGATCAGAGACGTGAGACCCCTTTTTTGATGTCCTGATTGAGTTGCGATTTACAGAGTGGGGACGTGCACTAAAAGTCCTAGAAGCGCGCTAGTGTAATTAATAAATTTTAGCATACGGAGCAGTCAAAGATCCTTTCAGTTCTTGGCATGATTTTTACAAAGCTAAAGGACCTATCCCGTGCCGAGTGGGAAATCGTGGAGTCGGCTTTAGAGGGATTGTTTTTGTCCGTCGTCCACGAATAACCCTGCCAGGTCTTTTGGCAAACGGTGGCTCGAGACGCAGAAATTGGTCGTGTGGAATTAGACAAAATTTAAATAATGCTATGAATGATCGCCATTTGCTCTCAAGAATGATTAAATTAGAGCGTAGGAAGAAAGCGCACAGACGACTGACTATTTTAACAAAAGTATGGCTGATGTTGTAGCCAAGATATAAGAAAGCAAGCGGAGTCGCCCAGGAATTCCATGCTGAATCCCATCGCTCCACAGTTCTGAGCACAATCTCATTACTCTTGTCCCGCTTGGCTCCGTTTAAGCGGTTTCCTCCTTATGCTCAGCTGTGCCAATCTTGTCTTCCAATCCTTTGGTTTTAATTCGCTGCGCTAGGATACTGGTTTCCGTGACTCGGTGCTCGCTTCTGGTGGAATTGCCGATGAACCAGGGAGTTTCGGTGAAGAGTTTCTTCATCTCCTCCAGGGGCAACTGTTTCGTTTCTGGGAGCATAGCCCAGAAGAAGACGGCATTGGTGAAATTGCAGACCTAGATATAGGATGTCAGCTACCAGTGAAGGTTCCCCGGAGTATCCTGGGATGCAAGAGGGAGACCACGGAGCAATTTGATGGATGCTCACCACGAACAGGACGTAGAATCGCCATCCAGAGTTTGCCATTCCAATGGGTGTCACTTGACCGATCATTGTGCTAAGAGGGAAAGATGAGTTATTAGCTTTATTTCTCCACTAGAGCGAGATTCAGGCTGGGAGAGGACACACTTGAAGGCAAATGATACCATGCAGCCTAAGGCTACCCCCCTGGCTCGTGTTGCTGTGTCGAAAATTTCGGCAGGAATCATCCAAGCTGTGTAAGATTTAGTGACGACTTCCCTGAGTTGGTCAAGGAATAAGATGAAAGGGAGGAAGTTGGTCATACACAATGATCCCATACTGGCAAAGCAGAAATTAAAGACCCATGTCATAATAATGAAACCCCAGTGTGCGCCCTTACTGTTCACCTGGGGAGGAAACTGGGCGAGAAGGATTGTGCTGATCACGTATGTGAGACACATGGCAAGGTTTCCACCTACGACGAGTTTGCGACGACCAATTTTATCGACGACCATCATCAGAAGGAATTCACCAATGAGGCCAATGATTGAGTTGATGGCTTGGTAGCGCAGAGTGTCCGTTCCATCGATGCCAATTTGTTTCTAATTTGAAGCTACAGTCAGCCATTTGAAGAAAAAGAAGAGGGTTTTATTGCAAGGAATACTTACAAAGATGGTGACCGAGTAATATTGAATAGCGGAGACTCCCGTCATTTGTGTGGCAGCTTGCATAGCGCAAGCCAGTAGCAGACGACGGAAGTTTGACTTGTCGACGATCCACCGATAAAACGTGACCTGGCTATGTTCCTTCTCTGCGGCAACCTGGGCTTTGATCTGTTCAAACTCGGCGAGAATCCAAGGGTCGGAGGTGTTGCCGTTGGCATGGAGTCGTGCCAGTGTCTGGAGACCTCTCTCCCGCTGACCGCGGCTGATGAGCCAACGAGGCGATTCTGGGAACAGGAAGATCAAAGCGGACAGTAGAGCCGCCGGGACGATCTGAATGCCTAACGGGATGCGCCACTGGCGGTTATCCGCAAAACTAACATAGGTGCCATAGCTGATCCAGCTTCCGCAGACACCACCAATGCCGAGCATGAACTGTTGCAATCCAGTCACCAGGCCTCGGATATTGGGATGAACCAATTCTGCCTGGTAAATTGGGATTATCATGGTGAGTACACCGATACTGTGGATTGTTAGTAAGTCAAGCCCGGCCCAGGTCGTCACAAGCCAGGAAAGGGGCTTTGAAATGGAGAGCTTACGAGACACCCGAGATGAAGCGACCTCCTAAGACGTAGCCATAGTTTCGTGCACCGGTCTGCAAGCCACCTCCCAGGCAGAAGATCAAGCCGCCGGTCAAGATGGTTGCTCGACGGCCAAAGTAATCCGAGCATGGGTACGCTAACCCGGCGCCGACGAAGGCGCCGGCCGTGAGAAGGGACGCGACCAGGCCTATCTCAGTGGTGGATGGGCTGAAATAGTTCAGAAAAGAACCGCTGGATACCACTAGTAGAAAGAAATCAAGGTGTGTCAGTTCCAGCGAACATGTGCAGAGATTTTTGCTCGCTGACTTACCCTCGGCCACAATGGTAAGGTCATATCCATAGAGAAACGACCCAAGTGAAGCAAAGGTGCCTACCAGAAACTGGTATATCTTGGGAGGGAAGCCCATTTTGGTTACTTGTGAGTTCAATTGACCTTGAGTATAGGTAAACAATGAAGATCAAAGAATAAGACCGTTGTCTGCCCACAATATGCGAGGAACAAACCCCCAGCCTTTTAAGCTATGCCGATCTCCATGTGGGGAGCTCGGCTCTTTCTTGGCGCGAGAGGACCAACTTCGCAGGAATGGAATGTGTAATCATGTACCATGTGTGATGTACATCGATCGGGACAAATTCCAGCAGCATGCAACGCGGGGAAAAAGTGGGTTACCTTGGCTGGATTTTGGCTGATGGTATATCTAGTTTAGCGTAGTATGTGTATTACTATCGATCAATACCTCAGTTCGGTTCCAATAAGTTTGAAACCCTCCCAAGTTTTCCAAACGCCTCCTCTCTGTCACGGCTGGAATTTAGACCAAGTCGTTATACCCGAGCCATCAAGAATGGTGGATTACAGGACATCCAGAGAGGCCTTTTGGAAAGAGAGTAAGTTGAAGCATATCTGATTGAACAGTATGTCTGGTCTCTGGTTTTGGACCTTCAAGCTGCTACTGTATCAGGGGAACTCATGGTAATACGCATACTGCGCTAAACTAAACATGGCGTTCAGGTATCGCTTCAGCAATTCTCTTTCAACCCTATTCTGTTCATTTTCTAAGGGCGTAACCCACTAATTTCCTGTTTGGGAAGTCCACCGGTGGCTTGAGAACGCCTGCGGAAAACAAGCCAATCAGAGCACGACGATTCCGCAGTCACTCATAAACCCTCGTCAACTCTCGTGATCTTCACTTCTACTATCCAACTATCTACGGTCCAACAAGACAAAATGTGACCAGGTATGCGAGATATTCGATCGACTTCTCGGGATAAGAGACAGCGAGTTGAGCACGGGATGAGGCAAGGAAGATGGCCTGCTGTCTCTATCTCACTTTGGCCTTCCTTTTTTTTCCCCCCCTCCACCAGAAAGAGTGAAATTGAAGTAATCTGATGGACATCGCCAAGAATGGCAGAGATAATTGCACTGCGCTTTGAGCAGCATCCTTCCGGGCTGGGTGTACACAGCTCCTCGCCTCGTATATCCTGGACATTCTCTGCTATTAACGAGTCTATCTGCGACTGGAAACAATTTCAGTATGAGATTGCCGTGCAACGTGAAACTGGGCCGCCGGCATACCTCGTTGTCCAAAGCGCCGACTCATCCTTAGTCGCATGGCCGAGCACGCCATTACAGTCGCGAGAACAAGCTCAGGTGCGAGTTCGAGTGCGTGGAAGCTGGATGGATCGAGCAACCGGGTGCGCACATTCGGATTGGTCTGCATGGTCATCTTGGGCCACGGTTGAATGCAGCCTTCTCAGTTCGCAGGATTGGATTGCTATACCGGTCTCTGGCCCATCCGTTCCGGTGAGCCCCAAAGTGCCACTGAGGCCTTTGCTCTTCCGAAAGGCCTTTGTTTTGCCTTCCGGATTTGGCCCTGTGAACCGCGCCCGCTTGTATATCACAGCCTTTGGGGTCTATCGGGCGTATCTCAATGGTACCCGGATTGGGGATCATGAAATGGCTCCCGGATGGACAAGCTACCACCATCGCCTTGCATATCAAGTGTTTGATGTCGGTTCCTTAATCACCACCAAGGGCGATAACGTGTTATGCATCGAGGTTGCTGAAGGGTGGTTCGCGGGCCGTTTGGGCTTTGGTGGTGGCAGGCGATATATCTATGGCAATCGCATAGCCGTCATGGCTCAGTTGGAGGTAGGCGGGCTCGCAGCTGAACGATTCCAGGTTGTGTCCGACATCAGCTGGAAGTGCCACCCGAGTCCCATCGTGAGCAGCGAAATTTACAACGGCGAACTATACGATGCGCGAGCCGAGGTTGGCAACTGGAACCAACATGGCCCTCTCTATGTTGACGCCGACTGGGAGACGGTCTCCGTTTTGGCCTTTCCCCGTGCGCGATTATACGCGCCAAACGCCCCTCCAGCACGAATCACGGAGAGACTGACACCCAAAAAAATATTCACCACCCCAGCGGGCCGGAAGATCGTTGACTTTGGCCAGAATCTGGTCGGAAAGCTTCTCATACATTCCATGACGCTCCCGGTGAACGCAACAGTGACCTTCACCCACGCAGAGGTCATGGAAGACGGAGAATTGGGGACGAGACCCCTTCGTGGTGCACAATCCGTCGATACAGTCATCTCATCAGGGCGGCCGTTGATTGATTGGTCGCCGAAATACACCTTCCATGGCTTTCGATTCGTGCAAGTCGATGGATGGGATCCTGAAACGGAGCAGTCCTGGCAGACTAACATTCGTGCACTAGTAATCCACACCGATTTCAAGCGGACGGGGCGGTTCGAGTGTTCAAATATGGCCGTCAATCAATTGCATCAGAATGCCTGCTGGAGCATGCGTGGGAACTTCTTGTCAATCCCCACGGACTGCCCCCAACGGGACGAACGCTTGGGATGGACAGGAGATATTCAAGTCTTTGGCCCGTCTGCAACATTTTTGTACGACTGTATTGGCATGCTTTCAGAATGGCTGGAAGATGTTGCCTGCGAGCAATCAGAGCACTACGGCGTTCCCCCGCTGGTGGTCCCCAATGTCCTGGACCACGTGTGGCCATCCATTCCCCAGGCTTTGTGGGATGATGTGGTGATAATTCTTCCATGGATCTTGTTTCTGTCATCCGGTGATCGTGATATTCTACATCGACAGTATGCCAGCATGACCTCATGGCTGAACCAGGGGGTCCGTCGAGGCAAAGATGGCCTCTGGGATCCCGAGCTATGGCAATTGGGCGACTGGCTCGATCCCCAGGCGCCACCGGACGAGCCTGGTGATTGCAGAACAAGCGGCACCCTGGTGGCAGATGCATACCTCGTGCATGTCACAGCCCGCATGGCTGATATTGCATCGGCCCTCGAGAAGAAGACAGAGAGTACACACTACCGCTGCAAAGCTCAGCGTCTCCGTGCCCTTTTCCAGGACAAGTACATAACACATTCCGGCCTCATAGTCGGTGACTCCCAGACGGCTTATTCCTTGGCGATTGTTTTTGGACTTTTATCCACTAGACAGCAACTGGACACTGCGAGGCGTCAGCTCGAGGCGCGTGTACGCATGGCAAAGTTCCGCGTCGCAACCGGATTCGCCGGTACGCCTATCATTTTACGTGCCCTCACCGACACTGACAACCTCTCCCTGGCCTATCGGATGCTGCTCGAAGACCACTGCCCGTCTTGGTTATATCCCATTACTATGGGTGCCACAACCATTTGGGAACGCTGGGACAGTATGCTTCCAAATGGGTCCATCAACCCCGGGGAAATGACTTCTTTCAATCATTATGCCTTGGGGTCCGTGGTCAGTTGGCTCCACGAGACTGTGGGCGGCTTGCGGCCGCTCCAAGCTGGCTGGCAGACTGCATTGGTGTGTCCACAGCCCGGCGGGTCGTTGACGCACGCCGCCGTGTCGTACGAAAGTGTCTACGGCCTCTGGAGATGCCAGTGGAAAGTGGCTCACAATGAAGATGGAGATGGAGCGGTTATATTCTGTTTGGACTTGGTCGTCCCACCAAACTGCCGAGCTGTGGTCAAAGTCCAGACTGCCGAAGATGGATCCAGCAATCTAGAGGAGAATGTGGGATCTGGAAATCATCGGTGGAAGGTTCCCTTCCATCCTTGGCTGTGGCCGCCCCAGGCGACTGCTCCATTCATCACAAACCCTGGGCAGAATTTCAATTAGATTCGCAGCTAGAGCACACAGTATTTTGAAATCACCCACTAATACACAGTCTTAACAATCAGCAAATAGGGGTAGTAAATTTTCCATCCTTGAACCCATCAGGGTGGGTGGTCCTGTGTCCTACCGAAGCGATCTGGCATAAGGTTTTCCAAGAGAACGTCATTTGTCTTACAGGAATCAGGTCCACTCGGCAATTTGCAGTTTTTGGAGTAGCCTAAGCTAAACTTGAATTTATTTGTAGTTCCTGCATTGTAAGTCATCAGTAGCCCGTATAGTTGGCCCATTAGTTACGGGGGAGTGGATTTGATGCCTGCATCTTCGGTGAAGCTCTCCCCGAATCTTTCACCCTTTCAGAGACAGAGAGTTTAACGTAGCACCGTCGGACCGATGCTCCATGACTGTTCGAGTTTAGGGGTGCTTCCATTTGACCATGCGGGGAAAGCACACGGTGTCGCATGTGTATAAAGGCCCGTCCCCCGACCTGTTTCTTGAGGTCACCAGACCAGGCCAACCTATCCATTGTGCTGATCCATCGAACCTTGTCTGCCGCTTAGAAACTATGATCCTGTCTTCTGTTTTATGTTTTGCTGCTAGCGTGGCGGCGTTGACTCTTGACATCGCCTCGTCTGGTGGCAATAAATCCAGTCCACTCTTGTATGGACTTTTGTACGAGGTCAGTCAGCGGTTCTCCTTTGTGTAAATTTCCGCAAACCTGGGCTTGAAATTGACGTTCACAGGATATCTACCACTCGGGCGATGGTGGTCTCTATGGGGAGATGCTCCGGAACCGAGCATTCCAAGGATCCTCGTCCGGTGGAGCTGCCAGTCTCACACGCAACACTGATTATTGGCATCCCGTTGGTGGAGTCTCGCTAGCCATCGACACATCTTCCCCGGCCATTTCGTCCAGCCTGCCATACCAGATGCGAATGGATGTGCCTGCGGGAACCAGGGGGACTGTAGGATTCTACAACGAAGGCTTCTGGGGTTTCGACGTGGACGCGACCAAGCGTTACATCGCTAGCCTCTACATGCGCGGCAATTATTCCGGGACTATCGATTGCTACTTCCGTAGCAACACAACTGGGCAAGTCCTCGGATCTACGAGCATGAGTATCCATCAGACATCATCTGCGGGATGGGTCCAGAGCTACTCCGCGACATTCCAGCCAAGCCGGACTGCCTCCGATGGCAACAATACGTTTTATTTCACGTTTGATGGGTCGAAACTTGCTGGGCAAAGTGTCTATTTCAACGTTC